TGTGCAGAGAACTTTCGGGCAGCCCTATAACCTCCAGGGTGACAATGGCTCAGTAGAGGGAGAGACTGCAGCACTTCCTGCGTCCAAAGAGCTAGTGCCACAAACCTTGGCCTATCTGGAAGTTCAGTGCTGCTGGAAGTTGCTGACAGCCTTCTCCAGCAGGTGGAGAAAGGCTGAGAGAGGAGAGGCTGGTATGATGGCTCCAATGGAACAAATCCTGTCGTTTCTGTTACCTAGCCTCTGCACCCTCCAGGACAGCCTCAGTACCAGTGCAGAGGTGGCTTTGAAGAGGGTGGAGGTGAGCAGATGGTTTCTGACTTTAGATACCCAGTGAAACTCCTGTCAAGAACCTTTCTAGGGCTGGCAGGAAAACTCAGTAATGAGGGAAGAAGAATGTCTCAAAACGAAGAGGTTGGGGTTTTTTTGGTTTGCTTGTTTTTTGTTTGTTTTTTTGTTCTCATCAGCAAAATGTGAATATTACCTAAACCACAGACTTTGCGAGAATTAATTGAACTAAAATTGTGTAACAGCCAGGCTGAAGTGGATAGGTTGGTTGAGCATGAGCGTGGTCCTGTGCACGGAAAGGTTGCAGGTTTGATTCCAGCTCAGGGAACATACCTGGCACATACCTGGGTTTCAAGTTGGATCCCTGGTCAAGGCTCCTAAGGAAGGCAATTGAAGGGATGTTTCTTACACTGATGTTTCTCTCTCTCTAGGCCTCGCCCACTCTAAAAGTCAATGGGAAAATGAATTAATGTCGTATCTATAAATGTGGATAATCTAAAAAGAGAAAAAGAAGTGGGGGGCGGGGCCTAACAGGTTTGGCTCAGTGGATAGAGCATCGGCCTGCAGGCTGAAGGGTCCCAGGTTCAATTCTGGTCAAGGGCATGTCCCTTGGTTGTGGGCACATCTCCAGTTGGGCTGTGCAGGAGGCAGCTGATCAATGTTTCTCTCTCATTGATGTTTCTCTCTATTCCTTTCCCTTCCTCTCTGTGAAAAAAATCAATAATATGTACTTAGAAGAAGAAAAAAACCATGGTAAAAGAGGTTGAATATACACTGTATAATTTAAAGCATGTAAAATAATATAACTTCTTAGGGGGATATATGTTATCTATACTAATAAAAGGATAATATGTTAATTAGACCAGACATCTTTTGGACATCCATTCTGACGTCCTTCTGCACAAAGCCATGGTGGTGGGGGCCAAGGCTGAGGCCATTAGGGGCAATCAGGCCTGCAGGAGAAGGCACTTAGGGGCGACCAAGTCAGCCGGGGAGCAGTTAGGCATTGATCAGGCTGGCAGGGGAGTGGTTAGGGGGTGATCAGGCTGGCAGGCAGGCAAGTGGTTGGGAGCCAGCAGTCCTGGATTGTGAGAGGGATGTTTGACTGCCTGCAGGATCGGGCCTAAACCGGCAGTCAGATATCCCCTGAGTGGTCCCAGATTGGAGAGGGTTCAGGTTGGGCCGAGGGAGACCCCCTCCCCTATGCACGAATTTCATGCACCAGGCCTCTAGTTAAAAAAATAAAAGATGATTCCTGGCCAGTGTGGCTCACTTGGTTGGGTGTCATCCCATGAACCTAAAGTTTGCTGACTGATTCCTGGTTGTGGGCTCAAACCCCAGTTAGGGGGCATACAGTAGATAGCCAATGGATGTTTTGCTCTCACATTGATGTTTCACTCTTTCTCTCCTCCCTTCTTCTCTCTCTAGAAATCAATTTTAAAAAATAGATGAAATACCTGAGACATATAACAGGTTATATTTTACAAAAACATTTTATTTTAGTCTTATAAAAATCTCTACAAGCATGATCTTTCTATCTCCACTTTATGGGAGAGAAACACAAGAATCTTAGAGGTGAAATAATTTGCTAACGTCAGACAGAAGAGTAGCAAAACCAGAACTCAAACTGGACATCAGGCTCAGATTTCTTTCACACAGCAGCCTGTACATACTTTCCCCACAGTAATCTCTCAGTTTCTTATCCTGTTTTCATTTCAACAACTTCTTCACTTCTCACTCCTTTCTAGGAAGCCTCCTCCCACCAAGATGATTGTTACTGACAAGGGTCTTGGCCCTGACTGGGTCTGCCTATGGCCAGCTGGTAGTGTGTGGGTTCCTGACTTCATGCAGAAAAAACTTCACAATAGGAGTTCAGGTGAATTTTAGAGGACATTTATTAAAGCTGGGGACAGTGAAACAAGGAAGGGCCTGGCATAGCAGGAGAGGGAGTAGGTGGGAAAATGAGTCTAGATTGGGCTGCTATAGCTCAATAAGAAGTCAGAGAAAAGAGGGCCTTGGGAATAGGAACTACTGCTGCCCTATTTCTTTAAAAAAAAAAATGACATTGGTATTTTGATGGAGATTGCATTTAATCTGTATATTACTTTGGGTAATATGCACATATTCACTATGTTGATTCTTTGAATGCATGAACATGAAATATCTTTCCATTTCATTGGGTCTTTTTCAATCTCTTTTAATGCCTTGTAGTTTTCAGTATATAGGTCCTTCACATTCTTTGTTAAATTTATTTCTAGGTATTTTAATCTTTTGCTTGCTGCTGCAAAATAATTCTTTTTTCATTTCTTTTTCTGAAGTTTTGTTGTTAGTATATAGGAAAGCAGTGGATTTTTGTACATTGATTTTGTACCCTGTAACTTTACTGTATTTATTGTTTCTAATAGTTTCTTTGGTGAAGTCTTTAGGGTTTTCTATATACAGAATCATAACAATCTGGCCATTCAGTTTTTTATATATATATATGTAAAATTATATATAAATTTACATATATATAAAAAATTTATGTATATGTAAATTTTTTAAAGTGGGCAGAGGACCTGAAAACACTTCTCTCTCAAGAGGACATACAAACAGCCAATAGATATATGAAAAGATGTTCAACCTCACCAATTAGAGAAATGCAAATCAAAACTACAATGAGATACCACTTCACATCAGTTAGTGTGGTCACTATCAATAAGACAAGCAATAACAAGTGTTGGAGGGATTGTGGAGAAAAGGGAACCCTTATTCACTGCTTGTAGGGATGTAGACTGGTACAAATACTACACAAAGCAATCTGGTGATTCCTTAAAAAATTAAGAATAGACCCAACAACCCATCTCCTGGGTATATACTGGAAGTGGAAAACATGCATCCACAAAGATATATCCATCCCCATGTTCATTGCAGCATTATTCACAATGGCCAAGACATGGAAACAACCAAAGTGTCCCACAGCAGAGAACTGGATAAGAAAATGTGGTACATATACACTAGAGAACACTACTCAGCCATAAGAAAGGATGAAAAATTGCCATTTGCAACAACATGTATGGACCTTGAGAATATTATGCTAAGTGAAATAAGTCAATCAGAAAAAGCTAAGAAGCATATGATTTTATTCATATGTAGGACATAAAACTGAAATTTGTGAACACAAACAGCAGTGTGGTGATTGCCAGAGAGAATGAAATGAGGGGTGAAGGAGGTCCTAATATATGGTGATGGGAGAAGACTTGACTTTGGATGGTGGGCACACAGTATAATATACAGATCTTATAATGTAGAAACCCACCCCTGAAACCTATATGATCATATTAACCAATGCCACCCAATAAATTTAATAAGAAAAGAAAATCCTATATAATAAAAGCCTAATATGCTAAGTGACTGGTCAGCCATTCAACCAAAGTATAATATGCTAATGATATCCTAAGGCTGTTCAACTGCTCACTATGACATGCACTGAGTACCAGGGGGCAGACGCTCTGACTGGTATGTCAGCTTGCTGCTGGGACTAGAGTGGGGCCTCGGCTGGCCAACATCCCATGTCCCTCCCCAGCCCTGACTGTGCACCAGTGAGGTCCCTCGGGCTGGCCTGTGTCCTCTTGCAATCCGGGACCCCTTGGGGATGTCAGAGAGCCGGTTTTGGCCCAATCCCACAGGCCAGGCTATGGGACCCCACTGGTGCACAAATTAGTGCACTGGGCCTCTAGTAAATAAATAAAATACAATGCCCTATGTGCCAGGACATTGTGCTACACTTTACATACATCATTTCATTTAACATTCATTTTGAGTTAGAAACTCTCATATTTGAGATGAGAACACTTGGACTTAAAGTAAAATGGTTTTCCTACAGTCCTAGGGCTATTAGCCAACACACTAGCTACTTCACAAACCTTGTTCCTTTGAACAAGATATTTTCAAAGTAGGAACTATGAGGTCTAACACTAAAACAAAGCACTAGCAATTTTTTCGCTTTGATACAGTTATTTCAGTCATGTTGTCCCCTCATTTAGTAAAAGTTACAATCCATAGAATAGCTTCCTTCTGAGGCAGCAAGCTTCTGGAGTATAGAGACTGTGTACCTATACTAAATAACTCTTTCATAATATAGCATAGACACTTTGTCAGCAATACTGAGAAACAAAATTGGGCTGTTTCTTTAATAATGCTTATTTACTTCCTTTTTGTGAAATTTATCCTTTCATTCAAATGACATAGAAATCATTTTTCTTTAAATTGTTTATTAAAACAAAACACTGCGCCCTGGTTGGTGTGGCTCAATTGGTTGGAACATCTTTCCATACACTGAAAGACCTCAGGTTCTAGTTTAGGAACATACCTAGGTTGCGGGTTCAGTCCCTTGGACGGGGCACACATGGGAGGCAACTGATCAATGTTTCTCTTACATCAATGTTTTTCTCTCTATCTAAAAATCAATGAAACTTTGCTGAAACCGGTTTGGCTCAGTGGTTGAGTGTCGGTCTGCAGACTGAAAGGTCCCAGGTTCGATTCCGGTCAAGGGCATGTACATTGGTTGTGGGCACATCCCCAGTAGAGGGTGTGCAAGAGGCAGCTGGTCGATGTTTCTCTCTCATCGATGTTTCTAGCTCTCTATCTCTCTCCCTTCCTCTCTGTAAAAAAATCAATAAAATATATTAAAAATAAATAAATAAAAAATAAAATAAAAATCAATAACACTTAAATCATTTAACATCCATTTTGATTTTATTTAATTAAACCTTATCTTCGGGCAAGAATTAAAGAAAAACAAAAGCCAATTACTACTACAAATTTAGGCCCATACTGTTACTAGGACCTAAAGGAATTAAGGTTTCACAGACAATTTGCCTTACCTGGTTCTTTTCTCTCCTCCTAGAGATCCCAGAATGCCCTTTTAAAGAGCTACAAAAATACATATACAACCTATAAATTCAACTTTAATCTTTTTAATTTATTGTTGTAAAATTCAGGAAAAAGATCTATTGATTGATCAATATAGATATGTCAAATACATATATTGACCAATATAAATATATGTATGTATTTAAATCTAAGGATAAATAAAGTGAGAGTACAATAGCCCAGTTTTGGGTTTTAAAAAAAGGTAAGAGCAAGTCACTGAGATTATAGGTGCCAGTGCTTACACCTGTCATCAGCTACCCAAGGAGTAGTCTGACTACTGGCATTCAATGGGCATGGCAGCACAGCTCCCTTCAACTCTCCAATGAGTTTCAGGTCCAGAACATTTTCAGTCCTTGTCTTGTTTATCTGTTGCTGAGGGGTTTCTAGGAAGATTTAGCAGTGCTTCAATTTTCTCAATATCATCCTTGGGTTGATTTTTCTGTAGGCTACTTTCAATTTCTTCAGGGAGGAGCTCAGTAATTTGTAGTCTGGCTTTCCTGTAATCAAAGAATGAAAAGGATATATCAAGTTCTGTTCAGCTTCTTTAGTCCATAGAATTATTTTTTAAAATATAACACTTGTCTTATTCTCCCTGCAACTTATGAGCAAACACTGTTTCTTGCACTTAAAATACAATGGCTTTCTTCTCTCTCTCTCTCTAACCTGTTTCACTCACAAGCCAACTTGAATTCTCACATTACCAAGATGGATATTGCTGCTATGTCAGCAGAATTCTCAGAGGAGCAACATGCAAGAGCTGAAACACTTTAGCAAGGGTGTGAGCCTTGCAACCTGGCTGTCCTCTTGCCCTGAGGAATTAATATCTAATTTCCAAACAACATACCAGTTATTATTCTAAATCATACATTACTATCTTCCTTTCTTTAAGTGATTATCAGGGTCACCTATGACTTTCTTTTCAACTCTTTACAATCACACTTGACCATTTCTTCTTCCGTATGTCTGTAGCTAGAGTTCTACATTTTCTACTCACGACAGCAATTTTTTAGACTTGCACCTTGTCTGAGTCCCCTAGAGAAGTAGACAAAGATTTTTAACTATTTATTAGATTACTACTACTCAGAAATATATATATTTATATCCTACTCATTTTTGTTACTATTCCCTTCTGCCAAAGTATTCTTTCATTATGATAATTAATAGTTTTTGTTTTTGCCTATTATTGAGGTTTTTCACTTCTGAATAACTGATCAACTTCTCTAATTTTAAATTGTAATAAAATTATTTGTTCATATTTTCCCAAATGCTAATTCTTCCATACTTCATATATCAGATTCAAATAGCCAATATAGGAGAATCCAAGATGGTGGCCTAGGTAAACACCTATACTTGCTGCCTCTCACAATCACATCAAAATTACAACTAAAAGGCAGAACAATTACCACCCAGAACTGCGGGAAAGCTGGCTGAATAGAAGTTCCACAAATAGAGAGGTGAAGAAAGTGCACTGAGACTGGTAAGAAGTGCAAAGGCACAGAAAGTGCTGGCACCTGGATGTGCTGCTTTTTTAATCGGGAGGGACATACAAGCACCAGCTTGCTCTGAACTCCAGTTCCAGGTGACACTCTGGGGGATTCAGACACAGACAGGAAGAAACTGGACTGTCTGGCATTAGGACAGGAACATGATGGGGGCTTTCTCTCAGAGGTGCTCATAGCGATCATTGTTCCTGCACAGAGGCACAGGGCCAAGAAACCCGGAACTTCTCTGGTTGGTCAGCCATTGCTATTTGCTCCACCCTGGTGATTCCCAGAGAACCTGTCCCACCCAATTTACAATCCCAACCCAGCTGTGTACATCAGTTTTCGCATATAAATGGTCAGTCCTTTCTCTGCCTAACCCTGTCAAACTGCAGCTGGGTCAGAGAGCTCCAGAACTTCCAAAAGAAGGCCCAAGGCCGGGCAGCAGCACCCTGCCTTGTATTACTCATTCTCCCATGCAAATTTCGGAAAATTCCTTTTCTTGAGATATTGCAAGAAATCCAACCCCAGGAAGACCTGGTGGAGATGAAGGTGTTACTTCCACCTGTAACACTTGGACAACAGATCTACAGATATTAAGAATTCCCATGTCTCTGTGTGTGTTTAGCACAAATGGAAGTTGCAAATAAAAACCTGGGGGGAAAATGACTGCTTATCTACTCAACTATCAATGCAGTAGGTGCAGCAAATGTCATCTTAGGTACCCAGAAAGCTGAACCCTGAGAACTATTTGTACAAGAAACAAATGGCAGCCTGTTATGTTGATCTTACAAAGAACCAGCATGAACCAATCTGACTACTGGCCCAGGGAATGACTACATGGAACCGATGAAAGTTTTCATTTTCCACAGTGGTATCCAGTCCATGTCCAGCCACTATGTCTACCTAATTCCTCTGCATCCACAGCAAGAAGTAGAATCTTTTAATGTGGAGACTGAACATGTTCTGTATTGTTTATAGATGTATGTGTACACTGGGATACCACCTTTTACAGAAAGCCAAGTAAAGTTCACTCACTGCAGTGCATTTTCTTTATATAATTTCCTTATGCAGTCAAAAATATAGAAAAGAAAAAACATGCAACAAAATGAAATTTACATTTTAATTTTAAAAAATGTATCTAAGAAAAGATCCTTGTCAGATTAAAAATGAAATTAGTGTCTTCCATTTTTTCTAATCTCCTTAGTTAAAAAGATGGAAAGACCAGGTAGGGTACAAGTTGAAGAACTCAGTAAAAATAAACTTTTCTTTGAGCTGAATGGTTTAAGAGAAAGGCCTAGTTTTAGGATGTTCCTTACCACTCTTCCAGTTTCAGTTCTTGGAGTATCTTTTTATCCTTCTGTTTTCTCTCCTGAATCGTCTCACCACTGTACTTCTGGAGTGCCATCAACAGGCCTCCGATAGGAGTACTGAGGAAGAAGCAGAGGGGAAGCTTAGGAAAAACAAGCCATTAGATCAGGCAAGATGTGAGCATCTCTGCTGAGACACAAGCTACACTATCTGAGCCACTTGTTCACTGACAGGTACAGTAACATTTGACGATTAAAGCATCCTTTTGAATAAAGAAAAAAAAAATCAAGGTAATTTCCTTCATGGTCTGAACAACAGAGAAAAAAAGTAATGGTAACTTCCTAAAAGTAAGTGATATAAATTGGCTATTTTTTTTATGAAAAATTAACCAGGAAAATATATATTTGTATCAAGCTCTAGTAAGCAGCTATATACTAAAGGTTTCTCAGAATAAAGTCAATATCTGGAATGGTACCAGATCCTCTCCGGGGCAGCTATTTTTGGTTGGAGGAATGCTACTAGCTTTTGGGGTTGAAGCCACCAAAATATCCTAAAATTCAAAAGTCCAGCACAAAAATCTCACCCACGATGCCAATAGTCATCTATTAAGAAACTGATTTACATAAAAATTATCACTCTAAGGAAGAGGGTTTCATTCTTGTTATCTCAAAGAAAAGCAATTTTTATTATTTTTTTAAAAAAATCAATATTTATTGTTCATATTATTACAAAGGTTCCTCATTTCTTCCCCCCCCACCAGGTTCCCACCCCCCCCCGCCCCATCCCCATCCCCCATTGTCCTCATCCATAGGTGCACAGTTTGTTGTCTCTTCCTCCCTCCCTTTCCCCGATAGTAAATCCCTTTTCAGATAGTAAATCTGTTACTTAGCATTTTCTCATATCAATAATACCTCCACATGCCCAATGATACACTTCACACAAAAAACATTTCCAAATAGGTCAACCAGCCTCATCCAGGCCCCACCCAAGGCACTCACAGATCAACACCCCAGCGCTATACTAACTCAACACATCCAGATCTAAGCCTTCATCACTTGATTCAGCAGACCCTCAAGTTCCCACAAAAGTTTCCAGCCATGTATGAGAGGCAGCCGTGGGGCAGGGGCAGGCGAGGAGTGAGCTGTTCCGGGCCTGGCTGCTCTGGGCCTGGCCTCTGTTGCTCTGGTTCATTCCACAACCAGCTGCTCCGGGTCTGGCCACTGCCGCTCCTGTCCTAGTTGCCCTGGACTTGGCTATTGCTGCTCCAGGCCTGACCGCACCCGACCCGGCTGCTCTGGGCCCGGTTGCTCCGGGCCTGGCCGCTCCGGGCCTGGCCGCTCCCAGCCTGACAGCTGCTGCTCCGGGCCTGGCCTCACCAGACCCGGCTGCTCCAGGCCTGGCCACTCCCAGCCTGGCAGCCGCTGCTCTGGGCCTGGCCGCTCCCAGCCTGGCAGCCGCTGCTCTGGGCCTGGCCGCTCCCAGCCTGGCAGCCGCTGCTCTGGGCCTGGCCGCTCCCAGCCTGGCAGCTGCTGCTCCTGACCTGGCTGCACCAGACCCGGCTGCTCCGGGCCTGGCCGCTCCCTGCCTGGCAGCTGCTGCTCCAGGCCTGGCCGCTCCCAGCCTGGCAGCTGCTGCTCCGGGCCTGGCCGCACCAGACCCGGCCGCTCCGGGCCTGGCCGCTCCCAGCCTGGCAGCTGCTGCTCCGGGCCTGGCCGCACCAGACCCAGCCGCTCCAGGCCTGGCCGCTCCCAGCCTGGCAGCTGCTGCTCCGGGCCTGGCCGCTCCCAGCCTGGCAGCCGCTATTCCGGGCCTGGCCACACCAGACCCGGCTGCTCTGGGCTGGCGGCACCAGACCCGGTTGCTCCGGGCCTGGCCGCTCCCAGCCTGGCAGCCGCTGCTCCGGGCAAAGAAAAGCAATTTTTTAAAAAAAATCAAAATGGCAACATAGGTAAATGCCTGTAGTCACTGTATTCCATACCCATATCAAAATTACAACTAAAATGCATCATTCAGAACTGCCTCAAATCTAGCTAAATGGAAGTCCTACAACTAGAGAAGTAAAGAAGAAAGCACATTGAGACTGGTAGGGCGGAGGCCTGGAATGGGTTAGTTCAACACCTACAAGTGGCATTTTTTTTAATCAGGAGGATATCTCGGCTGCAGAGACCTCCTGTGAGGGGCAAAGAGTCCCAGCCCCACACCACACCCCTCAGCCCAGAGTTCCAGTGCTGGGAAGAGAAGTCCCCATAATTTCAGGCTGTAAAAACTGGGAACCAGGGGGAGAGGGGTAATAGGAGGAAAAAGGGAGACATCTGTAATACTTTCAACAGTAAAGATTTTTTTTTTTTAATGTATAAAAAGGAGTTTTTGGCTCTGATATAATTTAAATTTACTCTGACTACAATTTAAGTAGGCTAATTTAAAAAATATTCTTGCTAGATGGAAATGACAATTGACAGATGAATGATGAAAATGTTAATTAAATGGAATGGTATGCAGCCTTAAATAAAGAAATCCTGTCATATGCTATAACATGGATGAACTTCAAGGACATTATGGTAAAAAAAAAAAAAAAATAAGCCAGCCTTGCCTTTTTTGGCTCAATGAATAGAGCATTGGTCTTTGGACTGAAGGGTCCCAGTCAAGGGCACATGCCCAAATTGCAGGCTCAATTTCCCAGTAAAGGGCATGCAAAAGGCAGCCAATCAATGATTCTTTCTCATTGATGTGTCTATCTTCCTCTCTCTCCCTTTCTCTCTGAAATCAATAAATATATCTATAAAAATAAAAGGGTAATATGCTAATTAGACCAGACATCTTCCGGACGTTATTCCAGACATCCTTCCTGATGAAGCCAGGATTTGAAGGGAAGCCAGCCCGGGTCTTGAGTGCCTGCAGGCAGTCCGAGGGAAGCCAGCCCAAATCCTGGGGAAGCCGGTGCTGGCAGCTGGGGGAAGAAAAACCTACTCTTGCAGGAATTTTCATGCAGTGGGCCTCTAATCATAATAATCATAATAATAAAAGCATAACATGCTAATTAGACTGGATGGTCAGACAACCTTCCAGCTGACATTCTGAAATTCTGGACATAGCTGTGGCTGTGAGGGCTGAGGCAAGCAGCTGCAGCTGCAAGGGCTGAGCCCCTTGCACAAATTTCATGCACTGGGCCTCTAGTATATAGTATACATAAAAAGAAAAATAAGCCAGATACAAAAAGATACACATGATTCCACTTGTATGAAATATCTGAGGTGTTCAAAATCAGAGAAACAGAAAACAGAAAGGTAGTAGCTAAGGGCTGAGGGGCAGGTAGAGGAAGAATTAGTGTTTAATGGGTTCTGACTTCCAGTTTTGCTAGATTAAAAAGTTCTAGAGATCTTTGCATAACAATGTGAATATACTTAACAGCTCTGACCTGTAATATTAAATATGGGTAAGATGGTAACTTCTTTTTTCCCCCTCAATGAAAGTAGTTTAGTTTTGTTGCTAGCTTCAACAATTCTTATATTAAGAATCTGGTATATTAATAATACAACAAAAATGATGTTAGCAATGGATTATGAAATGCTAAATTTTAAAAAATGTAGTTAAAAAAATGATCCATAAATCTAGTGTTACCTCTTCCTGAAAAGGGAGTGGGAGAACCCTCTATTCAAGAGAATGCCAACTAAAAAGAACAGAAGAAATGATAGAATAGCTAATCAATGTTTTGTCTTGGTAATAATGGATTACAGCATGGATTAAAAATCACTAGAAGCAGCTGGAAAGCAGGCTATTCACGGACTTTCACCCCCACAGAGTACTTAACCACAATGGGAAAAGATACCTTTGCAATAGAAAAATGTATTAGATACCCAATGTGCATGCAGAATTCTAAAAAGGCTCCCTAAATTATCCTACCCTAATACCCCAACTGTGAATATGATGAGATATTATGCCCATGATTATATTATATTACATGGCAAATTGATTTCCCAGACATAATGAAGGTTACTAATCAGTTGAATTGGAGTCTGTCAAAAAGGAGATTAACACCAAAACCGGTTTGGCTCAGTGGATAGAGCGTCGGCCTGCAGACTCAAGAGTCCCAGGTTCGATTCTGGTCAAGGGCGTGTACCTTGGTTGAGGGCACACCTCTCTCTCATCGATGTTTCTAACTCTCTATCCCTCTCTCTTCCTCTCTGTAAAAAATGAATAATTTTTTAAAAAAAGTAAGTCTATAAATATTGAATATGAAATAGTTTTAAAAAAAGAGATTATCTGTGTGAACCCTTTCCTAGCAGAGTTTTCTCTGGCTAGATTTGAAGTATGAGAAGCATTCAATATGCTGGTTGCTAGTTTGAACATGGAGGGATATTGTGAGTAGGAATGTGAATGCCAATAGAGACTTCTGACTTACTGCCACAAGGGTGTCGTCAACAACCTGAATGGTCTGAAAACAGATTCTTCCAGAGCCTCAAGATAAGAGCCTGTCTGGCCAATACCATGATTTTTTGCCTCGTGAAACCTTTAGCAGAGAACCCATTCAAGCCTACCCAGACTTCTGACCTATAAAACTATGATACAATTAATGGAACTGTTCTATAATACATTAAAGGAATCTGAAAAGACACAACTACTAAATGCAACATACAACTGGATCCTGGGTTTTAAAAAGTTTATATACACATATTATTGTAATAATCAAAGACTTTTGAATACAGAACCTATCTTAGACAACTGTATTGCATCAATGCTAAATTATTTAGTGTGATAATTGTACTGTGAAATAACTGGACAATGTTTTTTTCTTATTTTTTTTTTTTTAAGGAAACAGCTCATTGGATAGAAGAATCTTCAGTGGACGTGGTATCATGGAAGCCAAGAAAAGATAGAGTTTCAAGACGGTGGAATTAGCTCTGACTAGGTGGCTCAGTTGGTTGTGTTGTAGGCAGGTGGACAGACAAAGCAGAGCAAAGACGATAGACCATGTACAGAAGGTCACCAGGGTGGAAAGTCCCAGGTGCCTAGCAAAGGGCAATTGTAGGGTGGGACTTAGCCCCCAGGGTGACTTCTCCTCTCCTGGCATATCACTGGTCATGCAGTTTGGACCCCTTAACCTTTCCTCTCTAGAGATAAGATCTAGGCCTCAGTTGTATTTCAGCTCCAGGCCAGAAAAGCAACAAAACAAACCTCAGGACCAGCTGCACTGAATGACCCCCTGCCATGGTGAAGACAACCAATCTGTGGACACCTAGACCCTGAAAGAACACACGAGGAAAACTGCTGCATATTCTGTTATCTTCCCCTGGGACCTCCCCTAAAACCTCCCTCCCAGGAGCAGGCCCCCTTGCCCTTCCCTTCCCCCGCTCCCTCCCCCTCTCTGGCCCGGGCAGGTCACCATTGGCTGCCTCGCTCCCACGCTCCCAGGGCCCTTCCTTTACCTCTATAACTTGTTTCCGAAGCCCATTTCTCCTAGGAATTACTTCTTCTTCCTCTGCAATTTACCAAATAAATGTTCTCTTACAATTTGGGTCTTGGCTCTGGATTCTTTCCTAGGCAGAACCCAAGTACTGAGGTTGCTGAACTCGTTTGGTCTGACCACAAGGGTCAGAACTGGTGCTGTTCCCACCGCCTAAACAGTGTCATTCTGTACACCAGGGGTGGGAACCTTTTTTCTTCCAAGGGCCATTTGGACATTTATAAGATCACTCTCAGGCCATACAAAATTATAAACTTAAAAGTCAGCCTGATGTATTTGGTCAGACATTTAACTAACTCACCCGTAATGCATTGGCAGGGCCAGATAAAATGATTTCTCGGGCCTTATACAGCCCTTGCGCCAGACATTCTCTATCTCTGCTGTACACCAAAAAGGTTGCCAGTTCCATTCCTGGTCAGGGCACATACCTAGGTTGTGGGTTCAATCCACAGTCGAGACACATATAGGAGGCAACTGATTGATATCTCTCTCTCTCTCTCTCTCTCTCTCTCTCTCTCTCTCTCTCTCTAAGTTCAATAAGAAACATATCCTACAGTGATGTGGAAAAAAGGGGGCCACATGCTAACCTGACAAGCTCAGGGAATGCCTGTATGGTAGCTGGGCAAACTCAGAGACCTAAAGTAACCACAAAGGATGGTCTGAAATTAAAACTTTAAGTAAAAGCAGTTTATAGTGGGTAGTCATGTCCCAGGCCAGTGGTCGACAAACTCATTAGTCAACAGAGCCAAATATCAATAGTACAATGATTAAAATTTCTTTTGAGAGCCAAAATTTTTAAAAAATATATTTTATTGATTTTTTACAGAGAGGAAGGAAGAGAGATAGAGAGCTAGAAACGTCGATGAGAGAGAAACATCAACCAGCTGCCTCCTGCACACCCCCCACTGGGGATGTGCCTGCAACCAATGTACATACCCTTGACCGGAATGGAACCTGGGACCCTTCAGTCCGCAGACCGATGCTCTACCACTGAGCCAAACCGGCTTCGGCAGAGAAAGAGCCAAATTTTTTAAACTTAAACTTCTTCTAACACCACTTCTTCAAAAGACTCGCCCAGGCCGTGGTAATTTGTGGAACAGCCAAACTCAAGGGGACAAAGAGCCGCATGTGGCTTGAGAGCTACAGTTTGCTGACCACGCCCACAGGCAGTTCCTTCCCTGACAAAGGCCAATCTTTACCTTAACTGAGCCTGTCTATTGTTTTGTTGTATTTACGATAACATATCATTGGAATGTCAAAGTAACTTTCTTTTCTGGACCCCTGAAAGCACAGGCACCATTCTGCGGAGACCGCAAATCCCCCATTGTTATTAATTGTTGGCTGTTAGCTATCTTGTACCCACCTAAATAAAAGAAGTATGTCTATCATTCTACTCTTTATCCAATCCCAGAGGTTTCCCCACCCTGCTTCCTCCCAACTAATCTATTACTAATGGATTTTATATAACCCACTTATGTCTCCTCTTTTGATTATAATGTATAAAACAGGGTGCAATACAGCCATTCTCCGGAGCATTATCTCAATTCGTTGAGATTCTACTTCCTGGCATTTGTCAACAGTTTGGCTCTAACTCACAGAAATTCTTCACAGGTGTGAATGTTCCATCAGTTGACAGGATAAAATAAAAAAGATGGTGGAACTACAAAACAGTGCTGGATACTACCACAAGATTAAAGAGAATAAGAGCCGAGAAAGGTTTGGTGAACAAATGTGAACTAATAACTGTGGACAGTTGGAGAGGGCTACTGGTGAAAATAAAGATGCCTGCGTAGGCAGAAGACCTTACCATCTCCTGCCTTTAGATGGTACTGATGTGGAAATTTCTGCCAGGTCAATTTAGTTCAACCAGTATCTGATGGTCACAGCATGTGGCTAATCAGGGCCACCAAAGCCTTGTTCTCAAGCGGCTTCCAACTTAATTGGGCATACCAGTATTCAAGTATGAAGGTAACCAGAGAACACAGATAAGGCACTGGCCTCTTCCCTCCCATTCCACTTCTGCCTTTGACCTGCCACCTTTCCTCTGCTTGCTGGTCAGGTGAGGACAAACAGAAATCCTCTGATGGATTAACCTCAGGCTGAAGTGCCCATTGCCAGAAAACCATTCAGCTGAATATTATATAGTATAGTTATACCATGTTTTGTTTCTTTATTGCCACTGAACAATGTTCTTATCCTGGGAGATACATACTGATGGTGCAGAATTATGAGTTTTCATATGGTTTAACTGAAAAGGAAATATATTATACATACAGCCACATATATACAGAGAGATGGACAACAAATATGGCAAAATGTTAACAATTGTTGAATTCAAGTGAAAGGGTATATGGTTGTTCAATGTACTAATTCATTCAATGTACTTCATTGTAGGTTCAGAATTTTTTCAAAGTAAAAAGACATTTTAAAAAATTAATAACTAAACAAACAAAACCAAAACTTTTTAAAGTAAAATATGCTTAACTTTCTTATTCCTTTTTCCTGCTCCTTATAAGTACCTTTGTTCAAACTATAAATAGTTTCAGATGTTCGTGATATTTAAAGTTTTCATCCAATGAAAACTGGAAGTAAATAAATAATTGGGATAGAATTATAATTGGACAGTCAAAGCTACTATCAACACAAGACTAGAGATCTTTGTTCTTTAGAAATGAATGAGATGTTTCACAGGCCAGTCATCAAACCATGTTAACACTTACCCTAGCAAGGCTCCAATTATGCCACCAGCTACGAAGCCAGTCAGTCCTAAATTTATTCTAAAAAGGCTTCCTGAGACAGCTATTTAAACAAACACAGAAAACAAACACAGAAAAACCGCATTATTAAGTCATCTTTAAGTGCCAGAATTCTATTTTAAAATTATCCTTCTATAAAAAGGGCATAAATACCTATAGTAAGCTTTCTGAGCCCAACATTAATATACTACCACAACCCAGATTTTCTGAGTCTAAAACCCCAATATAGCTAGTATCTCTTCTATTCTGCAGGTTCAAAGGAAGAAATGTTCAGTTTACAAAACGAATTCTTCAATGTGTTCTATGGATCCAACCTCTTGCTTCATTTTTGTCTGCTTCCCCCTTAAAAATCTGTAATCTCTTCACTTCCACCCTTTATTTCTTCCTTCTTCAAGGGAAGCTTTCCCCAAATAAACAAAAAACCCTGCAGCTTATGCCTTCCCCCTTTCTGTACTGCTACCCTACACCCCAGGCAGGCCTGAAAAAGTGCATCTGGCTTACAGTGCCACCTGGTGGCCGCTACACATGTACTGTTTCCTTCCCACTAGGATTGTACATCCAAAATGGTCATTCATTTTCCCCTTATACTATAGACCAGTGTTTTTCAACCTTTTTTGGGCAAAGGCACACTTGTTTCATGAAAAAAATCACGAGGCACACCACCATTAGAAAATGTTAAAAAATTTAACTCTGTGCCTATATTGACTATATATAAAGTAATTCTCTTGAATAGGAATCAAATAAACACAAAGAAAGTATTTTATAATTACTTTATTATGAAATATTAAGTAAACAAAATAGTGAAAAATTATAAAATTCTTGTTTTGTCTGCACCTACGGCACACCAGGCAACATCTCTACAACAACACTAGTGTGCCGCGGAACAGCGGTTGAAAAACGCTGCTATAGACAACACATCTAATGGCAGCTGAGGTGACACTTTTAAAAATAACACTTGAGTCCTAGCAGGTTTAACTTAGTGGGTAGAGCATCAGTCTGTGGACTGAAGGGTCTCTAGTTTGATTCAGGTAAAGGGCACATGCCCAGGTTGAGGCATCCAATCAATGATTCTCTCTATCACTGATGTTTCTATCTCTTTCTCCCTCTCCCTTCCTCTCTGAAATCAATAAAAAAATATATTTTTTTAAATAAAAAAAGACAGGTTAAGTAGAGGCTGAACAAAATTAGTTCTGGGAGTGGGGAAGGTGGGTTCAAGAAGAGGGACCAGCCTTAGCTGGTTTGGCTCAGTGGATAGAGTTTAAGGCTGCAGACCAAGGGGTCCCAGGTTTGACTTTGGTCCAGGGCATGTACCTCGGTTGCAGGGTTCTCCCAGGCCCAGGCCCTGGTTGGAGCACATGCAAGAGGCAACCAATCAATGTGTTTCTTTCACATTGATATTTCTCTCTGTGTTTCCCTCTCTCTTTCACTCTCCCGAAAAGTCAATGGAAAAATATCCTCAAGTGAGGATTAACAAAAAAGGAAGAAGAAGGGGGGGGGGGGGGAGGAGGAGGAGGAGGAGGAAGAAGAGAGAACATAAGAGAAGAACCAAGTATGGAAGTGGAGAAAGGAAGATAAGAGTTTGGTTGGAATATAAACATTTGAGCCTATAGAACATGTAGAACTCTTCACCAGTTCAAAAAGGGCAAGTCCTAGCAGCTTCAATGCTATTAATGTCTATTTCTAATTTCATATTCAAAAATGTTTTCATTAAAATGTTAAGTTTAGTCCTAGCCAGTTTGGCTCAGTGGATAGAGTGGTGGCCTGTGGACAAGGGTCCAGGTTCAATTCTAGTCAAGGGCACATGCCCAGGTTGCATCAATCCCCGATATGGGACGTGCAGGAGGCAGCCAATAAATGATTCTCTCTCATCATTGATGTTTCTCACTCTTTCTCTCTCTCTCTGAAATCAATAAAAGATATATTATATAAATGTTAAGTTCAAAGTATATATACATGTGTTTGTCTGTGGATGTATAGGACACATAGAGAGAGAGTACACCCAAAATAGAGCACAAATGATAGAGTAAATTATTAATAGTTGAATCTCTGTACTAAAGGGTACTGATCATGTTGTTCCTTGTATCATTTTTATTTTTGTAATTTTCTGTAACTTTGAAATTATCTATCTATCTATATCTATATCTATATCTATATAGATATAGATATAGATATAGAGATAGATATATATAAAAGCCTAAGTAACCGAACAACTGGTCCCTATGATGCGCACTGACCACCAGGGGGCAGGCACTCAACACAGGAGCTGCCTCCTGGTGGTCAGTGTGCTCCCACAGCCAACCTCCAATGGCTGGCCAAACTCCCATAGTTCTTCCCCCTGGCTGGCTGGCCCCAATTGGTCCCAATCAGCCCCGATCTGGACTGGGCGAGATGGCCTCGATCACATGCCAGGCCAAGGGGCCCCACCCATGCACGAATTCGTGCACTAGGCCTCTAGTTTCCAAATAAAAAGAAAAAAATGTTATGTGCAATATATGAGAGAATGTACATAAGTTAGTGTCTGGTATATATGGCAGTTAACTTCATCTACACTTCTGAAAATAATACTTTAATACAGTAAGCTTCCCTATTACAGTTCCACTTCTATGGAGTCAATCAACTGCAGATTAAAAATATTTGGGGGGAGGGGAGGAATCCCAGGAAAATCACAAAAGCAAAACTTGAGTTTGCCACACACGGAGTACTATGTTGCATCCACGTGAATGAAGTGATGTGCAGGCATACCTTGTAGCCTTAAATGTAAACACTGCACTATTTTACATAAGGGACTTGAACATTTTCGGATTTTGGTATTAATGGGAAGGGGGGAACCTGAAGAGGATAATGTCCTGGAATCAATCCCCCACAGGTACCAAGGGATGGTTGTACTTTTGTTGTTGATATAGAGCTTTAAAACAAAATCCAAACTCTTACCATGAAAAATCTGGCCCCTTCCTACTGTACCTTTCCACTCTTACCCTCACTCACTATGTTCCAGTCATATTACCCTGCTTCTGAGAAACATTCCCCCTGCCTAGGCTACACTTCCTCATAAGTCTTACTCCTTCCCATTCTTTTTTTTTTTTTTTTAACATATTTTATTGATTTTTTACAGAGAGAAAGAGGGATAGAGTTAGAAACATTGATGAGAGAGAATCATCGATCAGCTGCCTCTTGCACACCCCCTACTGAGGATGTGCCTGAAACCGAGGTACATGCCCTTGACCGGAATCGAACCTGGGACCTTTCAGTCCGCAGGCTGACGCTCTATCCACTGAGCCAAACCAGTTTTGGCCTTGCTCCTTCCCATTCTTAAGGTTTCGGCTTATGTCATTTCCTCAGGAAGCCCTTCTCGGGTCACCCTGTCCACTTTAGATCCCACTGACCCACCTATTTGGTACTTTCCATCGTAACCACCTGTTTTTCCCATATCCATTAGACTGTAACACTCCATTAAAGCTAAGACTTTGTTTTGTTCACCAAGTATGCCAAGGAATAAGCCTAATACTCTCTATTCTAGTACATTTTGCACGAATGTTGAATAAGCCAACTAAAGAATTCAGCAGCTATGACTTATATGTCCTTACACATTTCCCAATCCATATTTGAGATTGAAAAACAAACAAGAACAAAAATTCTTACCTCCTGCGATGATAAAATGGCTTAGGGCACTTTTATCTCGGTATACATTTAGACCAGTGTGCACTGTGCTAGGGAGACAACAGAAAGAGGAAAACAAAATTTGAAGCATAACCCATTTACCTTCTGGAATGCAGCTTTCACTAAAGAGATCTGTATTATTTTAGAAGCGCCTACTACATCCATCCCTGGTCCCAGTCTAGGTCCTTAAATGTGTTTCAGATTGCTAATGTATCTGTGGGTTTTTAGTTGTACTTTCTTCTGCTGAAAAAGGAACCAAATTTTGGGAATAAATATTCACTTAAAAATAGAAGTATAAATAAGAGTTCTGCAAAATTTCTCTTACTTAAGAAACCTTACATCTATTTTGATACTAGCTGGTACACCTCCATTCATCAATGGGAAAACTACAACTGGACCAATCTTTTACATAGATAGGTAGCAGTTCTTGAGAGAAAGGTATAATAAGTCCCTTTCATATCAGTGTTCAGTTTTCATAATCCCACTTAAAAGATGTGCTAATAAAAGAATACCAAGACCCTTTGCCACAATTCAGAGAACTTACTTGAATATAGTCACAAACACTGCAGTTCTCCAGCCCCAGCGCCAGCCATACCGGATGAAGCCTCGCGTGGCAGCACGATGTGCAGATTGCTAAAGTTAATAAAAAGGCTGTGAGGTTCCAAGACACCTTGATACTTTCCTTATTCTAAAACTGCGGTGGAGGAATGTCAGCTATGGATTAGACAGGGACACCTAAACGGAAACAATTAGAAAATCTGTAGAATATCATTCATTCTGTATTATAGTTTAACATAATAATAAACGAGCGCCCTGTCAGTCACCTGTGACTGACACTATACTTTCTGTCCAGAAGAAAAAACAGGCTGGGCGCTTAACATGTTAAGCAAAAGTCCCATGTGCATCCTATTCTATCAGGAGGTAGAAAAGAAATTAAGAATTTGCCAGTATCAACCAAGTAATCCATTCATTAAATATCACTGAGAATCTATATAGCAAACACCACGACAACTATAAGATCAGTATTTGATATGATTTGTTTTTTGGTTTTTCCCCCCCAAGAAATCTTGGTGAGGCTCTGGTTGAGTAGCTCAGTTGATTAGAGCATCGTACTGACACACCAAGGTTGCAGTTCAGTCCCCATATAAGAATCAATGCATAAATAAGTTAAATAATGAGTCAATCTTCCTCTTTCTCTCTCCCCCTACCCCTTCCTCTGTCTGTAAAAAATCAATAAAAAATTTTTTTAAAAGAAATCTTGTGGAAAAGAAAAACATAAAATAAAGAATTAAGTGGTAAATCAAAGGGTAAGAATTAAAGTAATACATATGTGTAGGAAAGGAACAGAGGAAGGAAAAAAACATAATTTACTGACCACATTCTATGTAAAAGTTGTGTAAACATACTACCTCATTTAATCTTTTTTTTAATATATTTTTATTGATTTCATAGAGGAAAGGAAAGGGAGATAAAAACATCAATGATGAGAGAACCATTGATTGTCTGCCTCCTGCATGCCTCCTACTGGGGATCAAGCCCAAGGCCCAGACATGTGCCCTTGACCAGAATTGAGCTTGGGACGCTTCAGTCTGTAGGCCAACACTATATTCACTGAACCAAATCAGCTAGGGCACCTCATTTATTCTTTACAACATTTTCTTCAGGCAGGTATTTTAACTTTAAAGTATATAAAAGAAGTTTCTAACCAATAAAGAATAAAGTCAGAATTGGAAGGTAGGTTGTCTGTCTCCACAGAACATTGTTACTAAACGAATATAAAAACAGATCTGGTATCCTATATATACCACAGGAGTTCAACCGGGAGTTCTATCACTTGCTATGACATGCGCTGACTTCCAGAGGGCAGTGTGGAACAAAGGAAGGCCCCAGCTGGCAGCCAGGGAAGGGATTTGCAGGCAACCAAGGTACATGCCCTTGACCGGAATCAGTCTGTTTTTAAAATATATATATATTTTATTGATTTTTTACAGAGAGGAAGGGAGAGAGATAGAGAACTAGAAACATCGATGAGAGAGAAACATCGACCACCTGCCTCTTGCACACCCCCCACCGGGGATGTGCCCGAAACCAATGTACATGCCCTTGACCGGAATCAAACCTGGGACCTTTAAGTCCGTAGGCTGATGCTCTATCCACTGAGCCAAACCGGTTTCGGCCCCTTGACTGGAATCAAACCTGGGACCTTTGAGTTCGCAGGCCAATGCTCTATCCACTGAGCCAAACTGGTTAGGGCTAGAGATAATCTTAACCAAGTGTCTAAAGTAAACATCACCAGTAAAGAGAGAAATAGGTATCATGGTGTGATATATATTTCCTAAGAAGGATACAACATCAATTCTAGGATATTCCTGCTAAAACATATAACCAGAATTTAATCATAAAAAATCAATCAAACAAATCCAAATAGAGGGAAATTCTATAGAATATATAACCCATAATCTCCAAAAATGTCAAGGTCAAGAAAGTCAAAGAAAAACAGAGAAACTTCCAGATTAAAGGGGACTAGAGAGGTATGACAGGCAAATTCAACATTTGATCCAGTATTAGATCCTAGACCAGAAAATCTTATTTACTTACATTTCAAATAGATTATATTAATGGGACAACTAGCAAAATTTACATAAAGTCTATAGATAATATATACTCTTATCAGTATAATTTCCTGATCTGCAAAATTATGTAAGAGAATGTCCCTATTTTCAGGAAATGTTGAAGTATTCATCTTGTCTATAACTTACTCTCAAACAGTTCACACAAAAAAAAATAATAGTAGGCATTATACAGAGAAAAAAATGATAAAATAAGTGTAAAATGTTAACATTTGGAGAATCTGGGTAAAAGATATGTAGGAATTCTTTGTACTTTTGAAAGTTTATGTCTGACATTTTTTTTTAAATAAACAAAAACTGCTGAAACCGGTTTGGCTCAGTGGATAGAGCGAAGGGCATGTACCTTGGTTGCGGGCACATCCCTAGTTGGGGGTGTGCAGAGGCAGCTGATCGATGTTTCTCTCTCATCGATGTTTCTAACTCTCTATCCCTCTCTCTTCCTCTCTGTAAAAAATCAATAAAATATATTTTTAAAATAAAATACAATAAATAAAATAAAATAAACAAAAACTCTCTGAGATTTAACTTCCTCACTAGCACAACAGAACTGATACACAGACCTAACAAATGAGTTACTACCATATAAGTTATAAAGTTATAAATGTTAATTGTTGTTTTAGAGTGAAGTAGTATATTCCACAGAGGATTTGTGGATAGGACAAATGTGCCACAACTGAGCCTTGATGATTTAGCAGATCAGAAATATTTTTCAGAAAATAAGAGTTATAGCCTGGCCACTATGACTCTGTTGGTTGGGTGCTGTCCTATGTACCAAAAGGTGGTTGTTTTGATTCCCAATCAGGGCACATGCTTGAGTTATAGGATCAATCCCCAGTAGGGGGCGTGCAGAAGGCAGCCTGCAGATGTTCTGCATTCACGTTGATGTTTCAGTCTCTCTCTCCTCTAAAAATCCAATAAAAATATTTAAATTTAAAAAAAAATAGAACTATTGTGGTGATCTCTTCCAAAGGTAAGTGGTCTGCCAGGCCATATGTATGCCCTGTTAGCACTAGTACTTCCACTGTTACTAAGAATAGACTTTGTTTCTTTACTCTGACATCCTAAACCCTCCCAACCTACCGCCTGAGTAAATGTAAAGTGAATTGCTAAATTAGGGTGCCCTCAAATTATTTTAGAACACCAGTACCTACCACAGCATCAAACCTGTTATAATAAACTTCTGCTTGGCTCTGCTCAATGTAGCGCTGTTTAGCATGTACAAAAGCTGGTATTCCCCCATATGCCCAGCCAATGATGCATCCTGTAATGGCTGCCTTATAAATATCCTCAAGTTCCTTTGATCTTCTCTGCCGTTCACTAAAACATCAACAACAAAAGTTTGAGATTAGTATATGTATACTGCTCTCCAAAAGATAGTATGATCAAAATTATCCCAAAGGCTAACACAACCACATTTTTAATTATGGGCTGAACCAATTAAATCCTCTGATGAATTAAATAGTGCTGTTGTCGAAACCGGTTTGGCTCAGTGGTAGAGCGTCGAATGCAGACTGAAAGGTCCTGGGTTCAATTCCGGTCGAGGGCATGTGCATTGGTTGCGTGCACATCCTCGGTAGGGGGTGTGCAAGAGGCAGCTGGTCGATGTTTCTCTCTCATTGACATTTCTAGCTCTCTATCTCTCTCCCTTCCTCTCTGTAAAATATCAATAAAATATATATATATTTTTAAATAAATAGCGCTGTTATAAGTAACTCAAATTTCAGCCAAAACTAATTCATGCTGTTAGAATTTAGGCTAGTGGTTGGTTACTCTTGGGAAGGCAGTGACAGAAAGGGGTACAAGGGGAGCTTCAGGAATGCTGGTAACAAGTCTCTTGGTTTTGGGTTTATAAAAAACCATTGATCAATATGCTTACATATTTTTCTAGATGCATATTATATTCCATTAACAAGGTTTTTGTGGTGGCTTTTTAAATATATTTTTATTGATTTCAGAAAAATGAGAGGGAGAGACAGAAACATCGAGAGAATCATTGATTGGCTACCTCCTGCCACTGGGAATTGAGCCTGGGTTGTGGGAATTGAACTGTGTCCTCCTGGTTCATAAGTTGATGCTTGAGCCACTCTGGCTGGCTAAAAAGGTTTTGTTTGTTTTTTTTAATATATTTTATTGATTTTTTTACGGAGAGGAAGGGAGAGGGATAGAGTTAGTAACAGATGAGAAACATCGATCAGCTGCCTCCTGCAGGCCCCCTACTGGGGATGTGTTCGCAACCAAGGTACATGCCCTTGACCGGAATCGAATCTGGGACCCTTCAGTCTGCAGGGCAACACTCTATCCACTGAGCCAAACTGGTTAGGGCCAAAAAGGATTTTTTTAAGGTGCTTTTATTTAATGACTATTACAACTCTACTATTCCCCCTGGAAAGAGGAAGAATTTGAGTTGGATGTAGAGATCAATATTTCCCTTTTTTTTTTTTAAGCTTTTAAAAATTACACACATATGGAATTTTAAGGCAATGTATGTTAGAATGAAAGCTTAGATGTATAAGAAGAAAAATTTTAATACTTCGGGTTTTATGACTGTTAAGTGACCTGCAGTCAGGTCACAAGCAATGTGAACCTTGGCTTCCTCATCCATGATGGAGGGGAACATGAAAGTTACACTGGATTATCTTTCGCATTTCTTTCAGCTCTAACATTCTGTGGTTTATAAAGCTGGTCAAAATAACCCTCTTCTGTTATTTACTACATAGGCTCTATCACAAGTATCTCAAGTAAATATTGGAAGGACCAACGAATGAGAAAGGCTAACTCGTCTTTGCTGGTTTGGATCAGTGGATAGAGCGTCACACGATGGACCAAAAGGTCCTGGGTTCCACTCCGATCAAGGGCTCAAGGGCACATTCCTTGGTTGCAGGCTCTTCCCCAGCCCACCCCTAGCTGGGGATCCTGCAGGAGGCAACCAATCAACGTGTTTCTCTCACATCGATATTTCTGTCTTTCCCTCTCTCTTCTGCTCTCCCTTAAAAAAAAAAAAAAAAAAAAGAATCAATGGAACAATATCCTCAGGTGAAGATTAGCAAAAAAATGAGCCCAGCGGGCATGGCTCAGTTGACTGTGTGTCCTTTTATGCACTGAAAGGTTGCAAGTTCCAGTCAGGGCACACATGGAGGGCTACTGATCAGTGTGTGTGCATGTGTGTCTCTCTCCCTTCATCTCTCTAAGCATGTCCTCAGGTGAGTATTAAATAACAACAACAAAAAAATGATAAAAATCTAAACACAGTTATTAAATATAATTCTGCCAACTCCCTTGCCCCAACTATATACCTCTTAGCAACAACATAAAGCTTCAAAGTTAATTTAACCACTTGACAACACAGTGTATATCACATGTGTCAAACACAAGGCCCTCAGGCCAAATCCGTCCCGCCAGGCCTTGCAATGTGGCCCGCACCGGGCTGTCATCACTGCACTCCACTGCGTTTCCATCACAATGACAGTTTATGACTGTTCAGTAAACCATTCGGCCCGCGATTTAAGCTGGATTTTAGATTTTGGCCCCTTCTCTGATTGAGTTCGACACCCCTAGTGTATATTATAGTATTGTAAAGTGCTTCATGAAAGGGCAAACTTTTCACTAATAACTGATAGATTAAATGAATCAAAGAATGAATGAAATATCCTGAGTTTTTCATTAAAAGTAATTCAATTCAAAGGATTATATCTTATTCTGAAACTTCCTTGTTAAGCCAACTAATACCTTTTATAAAATGATGACACAAGTGGTGCTATTTTTACACATTCCTTATTTGGCAGCATAGAAATTTTACAACTCTCTGCCTAGCTCTCTAAACTTTCACCCTTGGGCGGGGAGGGGAGCTACTGGTCATGAAACAGAGAAGTTTGGGATCAAGTGAAATCCAAAAAAGAATAGTAGATGGGATCCTGCAGATGATATGGGTTCCAGAGCCCATTATGACACTCATTAGTTCGGTGCCATTCTTCTCATCTGTAAAACCAGGATGTTATATTAAAACTATATTCCCTTAACATGCCTATAAGCTCACCCTTATCATTTGAAAGCCTTCCTGTCATCTACACAACTTCCAAATGGAAATGGCAGGATGCAAAATGGGGGTGCAAATATGAGAAGCCCCAGTTCCCACTTAAAAAGTAACCCACACCATCCTGTGGTCCTTCGCCCCAGGACAACCCAACGCTGCGGGACACTTTCTCCCCACCCTCAGCACGTTTACTCTCTGGCAAACAGCTCCCGGAGGCGGTCCCATCCAGACTCCAGGCGCTGGGCTTCCGGGGCGTAGGAAGTTGGCAGCTTCTGATCCTCTGCGAGGACCTCCGAATGGGCGGAGGCCACGGCGCCCGCAGCAAAGACCCGAGAGAAAGGACCCAGCGCCCGGAGGATGCTCCCCGGCGCCCGCGGCCGCTCCTCCATGGCCGTCCCCGAACCTGCGGACAGACACAAGCTCGGTGACCGGGGCCCCCGCACGGCCTCTCGGAGCCGCCGCGGGGGCACAGTCGGGATAACTGCTAGAAGGAGAGGGTGAGTACCCGCGCCTGGCTGCCAGCTCATCCCCGTCACAGGCCCGGACCACCGGCCCCGGCCTCACTTTGGAGGTCCTTGGACACACGAGACAGGAAGTCCTGCCCCCAATCAGGGCAAAGGCCAAGGGGCGGGGCGACGGCGAAAGCACTTCCGGTTGGAGGCGGGACGGAACGCAGTAGTCCGGAAGTGAGCGAGCGGCGTGTAGCCACGCCCCGCGCCTCTGGCCCCGCCCAGGCCTCGCCCCCGGCCCCGCCTCCCAGGGTTGCAAGGGCTACCGGTCCTCGGGTCTCCAGCAGGTTCTCAGCTGTAGATGCGGTCACGGTCTGTGGTAACTTAGCGTTAACACCAGGAAACCCACAGAGAGGAATAGGAAAGTGCAATAGTCAATACAAGTGGAGCGCGGAGAGAGGAATGTTGTGCAAATACAAGCCCAACCCACCCTATCACAGCTGGAGGAGCCTCCTGGGCTAGATCCATACATACCCCTACAGGTTCTGGTTCCCGGAAAGAACCGAGGCATTGAAGAGAAGTTAGAGACGCTGAGATTTCCAGAACACTGTTTGGAATAGTCAGCTTTGGGCAGTTCCTCACAAGCTGATGCATCCCCCGCCCCCTTAGTTCCTATACCTACTGCTTCTCACAAGACAGGACAGTTTCTGGAATTTCTAGCAGGTGAGCGTTTGATAGACCAGCAATAATTTTCCGTCGGTGCAGCCTCTGCTCACATATGCTTCGAAGCAAAGTTTTTATTAAAATGCGCGAATTGAAAATAGTCTCATCTGGTTTGTGTACTTCCATTTAATCTTCGCTAGCAACCAAATATAGTCTCTTATATTTACCAATCCCTACCCTTCCTTTATTACTTTCTAGATGTAATTCAGAACGTCTACACCCCTTATTAAATAGAATTCTGGGATTTAATAGCTGGTGTATAGAGCAAGAGCAGAGCAGACTTTTTGGACACTTTTCAAGAATCCAGTGTGGAGTCACTGTCAGCCATGGTGCTATGGCAAGCATCATGATGCCCAGTATTGAGGTAATGGATGGGGTATAACAAGAATGCCCTTAGGGTGGTCCTGGAATGTCCTAAAACACAAGCCTGAACTCTCAGATAAGGACTTCATCTGGACCCTGATATGAGTGGGTCCGCCACTCACCATGGGCTGTAAGAACTCAAAGCTTCCACCATTTGATGCTCCAGTTTGGCTGTTCCAGGAGTCACACTTGGAGCCCGAAAGGATTTCGGCTCCACCAGACCATGTTGCCACTAGAGCTGCTTAGCTTAAGCCCTATGCCTGCCTCTCCATCCACAGGTGATCAGGACTTTGCCCTGTGTGCTTACTATGCTCCTTGCTAAGCTTGCTCTATCATGTAAGCTCCCCTTTTCTGCATGTAACCTGTGTGTAACCCTTTTGGTTCCTTGGGGAGGTCACCTCTAATAAAGCCTGCATTATGGAAAGACACAAGCATGTGTGACCCCTTTTGGGGATGCTCCCTTGCTCACGACAGCTGGCATTTTATAGTAAGTCAAGAGAAATGACTGACTAGACTAGCTGAATTAGTGACAGTGCCAGAAAGATTTCTTTGGTGTCTGGGAGACAGGATTAGATTCAGCTCCCATCATGACACTTACTATTGTACATTGCATCACAACTTCCTATTCGCTATCTTGGTAGACTAGCTTTGAGGTCAGAGACCACATATATTCATCTCTTTGTGCAGGACCTAGCCCAGTGTCTGACAGACAAGGTGTTGAACCAAGAATTCAGATCCCCTGACTCCTGGCTCTGGCTCTAGGTTGCTGATTATCGCATATAGGCTCAGGTGGGCATCAGTATAAAATCATAAGGCCTGAAAGACCAAGAAAATGGATGTGCACTCTTAATAGTCTACATGTAGAAAAAGCTGAATGCTTAAGATACTCGATCCCAGAATCATTCTGAGATGAGGGAGTACTTACGAGTTGTTGGGCAAATACTAGTGAATTTATATACAACTCACATATTCCCAGTACTCCCTACCTTGTATGTACAAAGGAAGTTGTATTAATCAACTAATTTCACTATCTCCATAGCTGCCTTTTCCTTTAGGTGATTGGAGCTTCATTTGTAAGGTTCCCTTTGCCAGCCAATACCTCAAAAAGTTCCTAGAACCTTGGCCACTGCTTAGTTCATCTCAGCTCCTAAGTATCTGTCATGCTTCCACACTCCTGTTTCTCCAAACCCCTGGATTTTACTCTCTTTTACCACCAGGAAAAAGGTCTCTCTGTGAGTGGTCTGCTTTTTGAAGGGTCTCAGAGCTAATGATAAACCAAAAAGTGTTATGAACCCTAGCTGGTTTGGCTCAATGGATAGAGCGTCTGCCTGCGGACTGAAAAGTCCCAAGTTTGATTCCGGTCAATCCCCAGTAGGGGGTGTGCAGGAGGCAGCTCTCATTATTGATGTTTCTATCTCTCCCTCACCCTTCTTCTCTGAAATCAATAAAAATATATTTTTTTAAAGTATTATGAGGTTTAGGTGGGCCACTCTGTTTAACATACAGCTCTCTCCTCCCCAGGATGTGCATCTGCCACCAGAATAAAGGAATCCAGGAAGGATTTTAAACACCTTGTCTGTCAGACACTGGGCTAGGTCCTGCACAAAGAGATGAATATATGTGGTCTCTGACCTCAAAGCTAGTCTACCAAGATAGTGAATAGGAAGTTGTGATGCAATGTACGATAGTAAGTGTCATGATGGGAGCTGAATCTAATCCTGTCTCCCAGACACCAAAGAAATCTTTCTGGCACTGTCACTAATTCAGCTAGTCTAGTCAGTCATTTCTCTTGACTTACTATAAAATGCCAGCTGTCGTGAGCAAGGGAGCATCCCCAAAAGGGGTCATGAATTTTCTTTCTGGAGTCAAACGGTTCCAATTCCCTGCCAGGTTCACTAGGTACTGCCCATGTCACATTAGTCTGTTGTATTACATGTGACATAAACTGTTTCCATAGGTAGAATGAATGTTGAGAACTCCCAAGAACCACTTCATTTACCCATCCCTCAGCGTGTAACTCAGTTTTTACCATCATGAAATTTCCCTTCTGCACCAGATGAAGATTCCTTATTCCTCTAAACTCCAAATCCATTGTCTTTGTGAATAATTGGCCTTATAAACAACTGACCTCGTGTCATTTTAATCACCTTCTTTAGGATGCCTCTAATATTGTTATCATTTCAATGACAGAGCTCCTTCATGATAGGTATCCTATTGTAAATATTTTCTTATTTCCTACTGTTTGTGCTCAGTAGATGCTCAAAAAGTATTTGATAAATATTATGTAAGTAATTATAATTGCACCCCTCTGTCTCACTCACACCTTATCTCTGGATGCAGTAGACTTACCTAAAGTGAAGGCATCTTTAGATGCATGGGAAAATAGGTTTGTATGTATATGTGTTCTTATTCATTATCAGTGTAGAGGTGAAGGATAGGGATAGCCTCTTTGGAGCTGACCCAAAAGGAGCCCATTGTTTTTTGTCTTGGGAATATTAGGCTGAGAGAGAACCCAGCAGATTCTGAAACTATATACAGTAGCACTCTAGAGATAGTTCAGAACTCTTGCTGAGATTTCTGGAGTTGCCTTGCTCTCTACCCTTCCAACTACTATGAACCTTATTTAGATCCTTTAAGATGTCTTCATATCCTTTTAATATGTTCTTTTGCTTAATCTAGCTGGAGGCTGTTTCTGTACTCAGCAACTTGGAGAGCCTGACCTAACAGTGGGATAGGTGGGCCACTGACAACATCACACAAACCATACTTGCCAAATAAAGAAAGGAAAAGCATGAACTGTCTTATCCAAGTATCCCACTTCATTCAAGTAAACTAAATTATATTTTTTCCTTGAAAAAAAAAAAAAGAGTGGCCTTTAGCTCACTGAGGAGGAAGGGTTAAGTTTGGAACCCAGGGAGTATAAACAACAAACAACCATCAGAAGTTATAGGGATAAAAATTATTTTCAAAAACATACATTTTACATATTGTTACACACCTTCCTCATACCATCTACACTGAGGTAAACAGGTAATTATAAAATCTGAGTAACATTTGCTGTATTTAAATACAAAGATGCCCTTACTGGTTTTGCAAAGGGCAGATGATAATTTGCATTGTTCCAATTGTTAATCTCACACAGTCCCCCTTTGGAGCCAATGGCCAGGCAATCTGTAAATAGGAAGCCAACTGTCTCCATCCATACACCCATTCGCCAAGACACCCTTCCAAAAAGACTTCAGGGTCTACTCTGTGTGAGGCACTCACTGCACTGGATAATGGAGACATCAAAATGAGTAAAACATGATTCCCACCCATCAAGAAGCTTGAAGAACAGCAGTCAAATAAGTACAGTACAATGTGATTGCATATAATATGGGCATGAGCAAAATATTGCGTCTAATTGGCAAACTGTGACTCACGAGCCACATGCAGCTATTTGGCCTCTTGAGTGTAGCTCTTCCACAAAATACCACGGCCTGGGCAAGTCTATTTTGATGAAGTGGTGTTAGAAGAAGTTTAAGTTTAAAAACTTTGGCTCTCAAAAGAAATTTCAATCGTTGTACTTTAATATTTGGCTCTGTTGACTAATGAGTTTGCCGACCACTGGGCTAGAGGAATGAAAGAGAGGCCTCAAAGAAAAGGTGATGCTTGAGCTCATAGAAAAATGTACTTTCAGCTCCTAATCCAAAGGACAAAATTTTGTTCATAGTTTAGTGAGAGAAAAAGTAAAATACAGAAAGAATGACATCTATTAGAACCTCATACTGACAAGGCAAAACCATAATATATATAACTCATAAATCTGGAGCTCCTATCACTACACATATAGCACCTAAGGACACAATCCCCATTAATTGCTAAAAAAAAGTTCAATTTTAAATGTCTAGCCTATTCCACACAATGGTCTTAGCAGTGATATTTAACTCCTAAGAAGGTCTTTATGTTTACATTTTTGTGGAAGGGAGTTTAAAAGGCCGTTTCTCACAAACAGAATAAAATCCTGATTTTATATGACTGAATCTCACGTTTACTCATTTCGAAATCAGTTAATACCAATCTGTTCTTAGGAGTCAAAGGAAAAGAACTGATTTCTCTGTAGAAAGGTTGGGCTTAAGGGATAAGGATGGTTCTAAGTCATCAGACTATCTGAGTTTTAATCTAATTATTGTTCTTCATTTTTGACTGTTAGCAGGAGCATCCCGAGAGATTAGACTAATATTTAATAGTAAAAAAAGGGGAAAAGCAGATCCTGCAGGGCAGTGAGAGTGTGGACTGCTGCCAACTGAAGGGGGATAATATTAGGGATGCGCAAGGAGTGAACAGTTGCTGTCCTATGCACAGTTCCCTCAAAGAGTGAGGACTCCTTCCTAACCTGATTAAAAGGTTTATGTATTTTTTAGAGACCATAAAAAGAAGGGTATGAAGGCACAAAAGGAACTTGAGATCCAATTGCAATTATCATGCAACTGTTCCCTTTCTATACGGCATTATAGGAACCTCCTGAGTACTAAAGAGTTTATGCTTTTACAGAAGGGGTCTCCTATGTCACTACATGGCACAACTACTGCTTACTTAGACCTTGCAAAAAATAATCCCCAAGTACTTTTCATAGACCCTATAGGGCTTCCTACATTAAAATTTAGCATCAAAGATCAAACCTAGAATAATTGCAGAAATGTGGCGATGAGTTGTACTAGTTCCAAATGATTGAGTTTCTGCTCCAAACAGTGGCACAAAGAACATCATCCCATGGACACAGTCTGGTTCACAGTGATGTACGTATATATGTGGATGACCTGAGGCACAAGCTGTGATTGGTCCTAAGAAAATGAAAGGTAGAATCGGGTACAAAACCCACATATCATGATTTCTGGTCCTTGTTCAGCCAAAGCGTTGAGCTGCTTCACATCTGTATTATATACGTGTTGGATCTTTCTCGAGACTTGCTCTGGGTGCAGCATGACAAGGAAGACTAGATATTTGTCTTGGTAACAGTAGTCAAGGTATAGTTGCTACATTCACGGTAAGTTTCCCATCACAGGGTATCTCAGATCTGCTGCCACAGAGAGGACTTTGATCCCGATGATGGCTATTAGAGTTCAGTTTTCAAAATTTTGGGGTTAATCTGATCATAACCTTTCCTTCTTGTTACATTATAGGACAGGAATTTAGAGTATTCAGTCAGCAGGTTCTCCCAGTAACAGGTGATGTCATCCATCCTCAAGTGGTTCATAATGAAATGGCTTCCTCTAGAGACAAGATTAACAAGAACTTTTAAAGTACAGCATTTAATAGTACTAATAGATTATAACTGAGTGTTTACCTTGTGCTGTGCACTGTTCAGAGTACTTTATATGATTTAACTCTTTTGATCCTTAGAACCAACCGTCTCACCGTCATAACCACACATGTGCACTTAGCAATAGAACTTATATTTTTTTTCTTAAAAACAGACAGCCGAAACCGGTTTGGCTCAGTGGTAGAGCATCGGTCTGTGGACTGCAAGGTCCCAGGTTCGATTCCGGTCAAGGGCATGTACATTGGTTGCAGGCACATCCCCCCGGTTGGGGGTGTGCAGGAGGCAGCTGGTCGATGTTTCTCTCTCATCGACGTTTCTAGCTCTCTATCTCTCTCCCTTCCTCTCTGTAAAAAATCAATAAAATATATTAAAAAACAAACAAAACAAAAAAAACAGACATATAAACAGCCAGTGCTCAGAAAAAGTACTCAGTTATCTCAATGATTTCAGTCTACTTCTATAAAATATGGGCTTGGAGCATTTGTGAATGTGTGCTTTTCTCTCCAAGACAGCTTTAATTCGGATTATCTCTGTATAATAAAGATCCAATCCAGTTATCACCATGGTAACACTATTAATATAACTTTAGCTAGGGCAAAATAGGGATGATAAAGTGGAAAAGAAAAAATGAACAGAACTTACCTTTCAGCAATTTCTTGAGCTATGTCATCATTTGCTTTTACAAAATGCAACAGTTCCCTAAAATGGAAAGGATTATTAGACTCTGAAATATAGAGCAAGTTTATTAGCATTAAATCAGAAATACCATAGATTATAGTTAATCTCTTGGTATGTGGATGGTAGACTTTGTTTTTATTTTTATTTTATTTTAATTTTTAAAAATATTTTTTATTGATTTTACAGAAAGGAAGGGAGAAAAATAGAAACATTGATGAGAGAGAAACATTGATTAGCTGCCTCCTGCATGCCCCCTTCTGGGGATGTGCCCAAAACCAAGGTACATGCCCTTGACCAAAATCGAACCCAGGACCCTTCAGTCCGCAGGCCGATGCTCTATCCACTGAGCCAAACCGGTTGTTTTTTTTTAAAGGGAAGATATCAGGGTCCCCACAGAAACAAAATAATAATAATAAAAAAAAAGTCCCCCCACATGCTAAAGGCAATGTGTTCTAGTTTTGGGACATATTTGAGAAAACAAGATATGTTCCATAACACATATAAAAAATCCATAGTGAAGAAGATACTTCCCTCCTGTCTCTTGCTCTGGCCCCTTACATCTTGGGCCCCTCTCCCTGCCTCTTTCTAGCTCCTCCCATCACGAAAGGAAATTTTTCTGATTCCCTGGGGGCAATCTCAGGCTGTATCAGAAAGTTTCTTAGACAATATAATAATATCAAACATCCCTATCTCCAGTCTTTGAGAGATGAGAATTTTTTCACTGCATACTATCTGAATGTTACATTTGAACCAGCACTAGAGCACTTTTTCAAATTAAATCCCACTTACAGCCTAATTGGATAAAAGTTCAATTGATAGCTACATGAACCGAATAAGAAAGAAAAAGCTCTGAATGGAAAACATCATCAGGAATAAATGCCTTAGGTGGCTGGGGACTTAGAGGCAGATTACGGGAGTGATTGGATCTCTGCTTGGGAGAGAGTAGCTTACTGGACATTGGAGAGATCTGTTTTGACTGGGATATAGTGAACCCATGGCTTCAGCTGTGGATAGAAGAATTCCAGCCACTCATCACCAACGTGGAAAACAAGTGAACCACACAGGAAGAGGTGTTTGAACCGGAAACTTGCAGCTACACCTCGAAAATTAAACAGATACCTGAGAAAGAAAGAGCAGAATATACTTGGTACTATATACTTACTGCCACAAATGATCTTTTTCTTTTCTTTAAAAAAAAATATATTTTATTGATTTTTTACAGAGAGGAAGAGAGGGATAGAGAATTAGAAACATTGATGAGAGAAACATTGATCACCTGCCTCCTGCAGCCCTCCCCTTGCCCCCTCACTGGGGATGTGCCCGCAACCAAGGTACACGCCCTTGACCAGGACTTTTCAGTCCGCAGGCCAGTGCTTTATTCACTGAGCCAAACCGGTTTCGGCATCTTTTTCTTTTCTTAATCCCTTCTCCCCTTCTATGATCCCTCTTCCTTCTCCTTCCATTTTGATTTTTCAAGGACACACCAGCATGTCCCCATTGAGTTCCATAAACTCCTTGCTTTTCCAGGGGCTACAGGTTATTCTTATAAACGTCAGGATGAGAGGGAAGGGGGTGTGGGAAGCCGTGTTCCGTGGGGCCCAAGGGCAAGGATGGAGCATAGGGTAGGGACGCCTACCTGCTCTCCTACAGGGGATTGAGCGCAGGGTAGGGACGCCTACCTGCTCTCCCCTAAGCCTTCAGGGATAACCAAGGACAGGGCAGACCATAGCCCCATTGTTAGAGAGTGCGCATGATGCACGACTTATCTGGATGTTCTCAGCTAGGCTGTTCTCAATGATATCTAATCAGACGCTTGCTCTATGTATCTTTTCCAAGAATGTCTTGAGGGGCTGATGGGCGGCCTTGTCCTGGGAAAGGGGCACTTGGAGAAATGCCCAGAAAAGCCTCATAAATGTACGCTTGCAACTAATAAAGTTGCTGCAGTCTCATCATGGACTAGCAGTCCTCCTGAAGTCCCGCTTTCTCTTGTCTTTATCTCTCTTAAAACCTCCTAGCCCTACCTCCAGGACCTGTGATGCCGGCTGGATACGGTAAGGGGGACACTTTCTCCAGGCAGAGCTAGAGAGGGCAGGAGCTGGGTGCTGACTAGAAAGGATACCAAGGCTCAGCTGGAAATGATACCTCACACTTTCCTATAAGCTGTCTAGGCCTCATATCTCTAACTCATCATGCCCACCCCCTGCCTTGTTTTCCTCATAGGGTACCCCATCTGGTCAAAAGCATCCCCAATTCCCTTTTCTTGAGTCTGGTTAGTAAAACCAGGCATGCCTAATCAATCTTCAAAGAAATACTACCTCCTACAAAAAAATCTATCTTAGCCCTAGCTGGTTTGGCTCAGTGGATAGAGCGTCAGCCTGCAAACTGAAAGGTCCCAGGTTCGATTCCAGTTAAGGGCATGTGCCTGGGTTGTCGGCATGATCCCCAGTGGGAGACTTGCAGGAGGCAGCTGATTTCATGATTCTCTCTCATCAGGATGTTTCTATCCCTCTCCCCCTCTTCCTTCCTCTCTGAAATCAATATATATATATATATATATATATATATATATATATGTATATATATATATATATATGTATATATATATATTTTTTAAATCTTAGAAAAAACATTTTCTTTTCAACATGTCTCATGCATGCACCTCTGTCTCCAACCAGTGTTGCTTCCCCCTAAAGTTCCCACTGTGCGCTGTAATCAGCATTCACCTCTCTGAATCCCCCCAGCATCCCGTTCCTGATCTGGTTTTACCTGTTCTTCTAATTCCTAGTCCTGGCACTTAAATATTTTAGTTATATATGCTTTATTCATGTTGACCCTTAAACTGTGCTATTAACCTGATGAACACATCATCTAACTTCAGCTATTGACTGGGTGTGGGGTGGGGAAAGAGAACCCCGTCACCCTGATTGCCACACAGGCTCTATGGAAACAGGGACCATATTTCAGTATCTATACAATTTCCCACAGAACTTAGGCCAGAACTCAGTAAATAACAGTTAAAGGAATGATTGTGACTTTCATAAATCCCAGCTGGGCCCTGGGATTGAAATTCTCACCCAAAGTGCAGCTCTTCCAAAAGCAAAAGGGAAACCAAGAGTCAGGAGTTGGGGAAGTCTTACTTGTATTTGCAGTGATCCACAAGATGGACATCCTTAGCAGCTGGCTTTCCCAAGGTATCCTTTAAGTGAAAAGGAATGGTAGCGTTTATTGGAGACCGCTGTGCAGCAAGCAAGGCAAACATTTCAAGAACATGATCTCATTTAAGCCTCATAATAAACATACTCTGGAAACATTATTACTCCATGTTATAGATGAAGAAACTGAGGCTTTGAGAAGTTAGATTTGCTCAGGGTCACATGCCCTGTGGTCGGCAAACTGCGGTTTGCCGCTCTGTTGACTAATGAGTTGGCCGACCACTGCCTTAGGGAAAAACACTTTAAAAACATTTGAATAATGTACTAATGTCTTTAACCTGAAGTCAAAACTTCTGGGTAGGGTAATGCCTTAGCAGTGGTCCGCAAACTCATTAGTTAACAGAGCCGCAGTTTGCGGACCACTGTCCTAAGGTGTAGAGGTCATGGCCTACAGTGTATTTCACTCGATGTAAACTTGATAGACGAGGTCACAAGTGGTAGTTGTTGGGCTTAGAGGAGTAAATATTTAAACCCACTGCGAACACTTATAGGTAGTAGGATGGTCCTTACAAATATCCAGATTTTCGGCTTTTCTTGTAAAGAGGAAGATCTGGTAAACTGGGCACCTATCCCCCTCGAGAGCAAAGACTGGACCTTTATCGCTCACTCCTGTGGCCCCTGGGCCTCTGCAGCTGAGACCCCCCCATCCACACATGTCCAGCCGCCCGAGCAGATGGTAAGCTCATTGCTAAGGGGAACAAGGCCTGTTTGCTTCTGCAGCCTCCTACAGTAGCTGCTCTGCTGAATGGATACATTTTCCCCCCATATTTTTATTTTTACCTAAAGCTTCTTAAACTTCATTTGCACCCGTTCGAATAAAACTATGATATAATAAATACATCCATCTTAAAGATATACTTCATTTTTCGCACAAGAAGTTGACAATTTTTTCTCATATCACCCTCGTATCACATCATGTGGAAGTTTCAGATGAGTACATTTCAGGCTTAAACTTCTTCGAATAAGGCAAGAGGTCATAGAGTTAACAGGACAGAGATGGGCTCCAAACCAAAGCCAGTCATTGCTGGCTTCACCTTAGAATACTTGGAGAGTTTTAAATAAATCAAGATGCCTGCAGTCCATCCCTAGAGATTCTCATTCATTTGAACCACTTTTTAAGCTCTCTGGTTGGACTGTATAGTCAGGGTTAAAAACCACTGCTTCAAAACAGGGGTTGGCAGACTACAGACCATAAGCCAAATCCAGCTTATTATTTGTTTTTGGTATACAACCATAAACTAAGAATATTTTTACCTTTCAAATGGTTGCAAAAAGTCTAAAGGAGAATATTTTGACACATGAAAATTACATAAAATTCAAATTGTAGTGCCATAAAGTTTTATTAGCACACAGCCACGCTCATATATTTACACATTGTTTATGGCTGCTCTCATGCTCTGACAATAGACCTCACGATCCATAAACCCTAAAAAATGTACCTTCTGGCCCTTTACATAAAAAGTTTGTGACCTCTGGTTTAAACCTTCAAAGTACTATAAAACACTACTCAGAATATGGGCCAGGAAAGCCATGTGAGTTTGAAAAAGAATAATTTACATGTATGCTAATACTAGTTCATAGAACTTCCTCTGCATTCTTCCCATAACGAACAGGAAACCTAATCTGAAATTCTAAACCTTATCTGAAATGTTCTCTGAGCGAGAATGTTCGCTGCTTTAGTTTCTATTCAGATGATTGGTGATTACTTTCATAGACTTCCAGGCCTGGTTTTTGGTGTACTCCGCATCAACAAGTTCTGGATTTTTCCGAGATAGAAGAATGAGAGGATCTCGTTCTGGACTTGTCCTATAGAAGAAACACATGACATAAAACGATGTGCTCTACCCCATAATACCGTTCCCAATCTCTGGGACGTAAGCAGTCGTTGGACCCAATGCAATGATGGTACACATGGGTGGACAACTCACTGGTCACTTTAATAGCAGAGGAAGGGGATATTGGACACTGCAGCCTTAGGTGGTCTTAGGCTGTCCCCACTTTACCCTTCAAGGATGAGGAGAATTTGGTCCTTCTTTGCTTGCATCTGGTTTTTAAGATTATGTTGTTCTGGTCACTACAGCCATATCCCAGGGAATGAGTTCCCTTTTAGGAGCCTCTATAATCAAGAGTACAACCGAAACCAGTTTTGCTCAGTGGATAGAGCGTTGGCCTGCAGACTGAAAGGTCCCAGGTTCAATTCCAGTCAAGGGCATGTACCTTGGTTGCGGGCACATCCCCAGTAGGGGGTGTGCAAGAGGCAGCTAATCGATGATTCTCTCTCATCGATGTTTCTAACTCTCTATCCCTCTCTCTTCCTCTCTGTAATAAATCAATAAAATATATTTTTTTAAAAAGAGCTGTGTGACTACGTAATCACCACTCACCAAAACAGCTGCATGACCTTTGTTGTGTGTGCTCTGTAAGTCTAGTATAGTATTTAAATGAAAAAAGAAAAGGTTTAAAAACCCTAAGATTATATGGAGATAAAAGTGCTTGCTAGGGTCCAAGTAGCAAGTGGTCTTGACATTGGGGGCTGTCATGGACCCTCTGAGAATGTGATAAGAACTATGGATTCCCCTCTCTAGAAAAAAATGCACATATCCCCCTGTAATTTCAAGAAAGTCCTAAAACCTTTGAAGTCCACACATGGATCCCAAGTTAAGAATCTGTGATCTCAAGATGTGAGCATCAGCCAAAACCAGTTTGGCTCAGTGGATAGAGCGTCGGCCTGTGGACTGAAAGGTCCCAGGTTCAATTCCGGTCAAGGGCACATACCTTGGTTACGGACACAAAAGGCAGCTGGTCGATGTTTCTCTCTCATCGACGTTTCTAACTCTAAATCCCTCTCAATTCCTCTCTGTGTAAAAATCAATAAAATATATTAAAAAAAAAAAAAAAAAAAAAGATGTGAGCATCAGAGAAGTTGACAAGGAACAGTAAGCAGTGGCTGAAGCTTATCTGCACTTGGAAGTCCACTGCTCACAGTAAACAGAGGGTGGAATCTCTGACAGAGACTCACTGAGAAAATGACAAGCCCGCTCTCTTCACAGTCTCTTCTGTCTTCATCTGTTCAACACACATTCATTCTGTGTCTATGTGGCAGATGCTGACCTTGACTCTGGGGATACAAAGCTGGACACGGATGGGGTCCTTCCCCAACCTTTTCCCTTCCCCTCTTCCTCTCCATTTTTACAGTCTCAGTCTGTGCTCTCAGCCACGATGTGGCAGCCACATGGTCTGATGAAAAAGGCAGTCAGGAGGTCCACTGATGGTATTAACTAGCAGAGTGACTGGGCAAGGGCACAAACTACTCCTAGGAAACTGTCTTCTCTCAGGCAAGAAGACAGCTCATCTTTCTCTTCAGCGTTATATACTCAATGCCCATCACACTCGTAGCACTCTGTAAATATCTGTTGAGTTACTGGGGTGAACTTTGAATTTCAGTTCAATCAAGAGTGATTTGGCCGTGACTGGTTTGGCTCAATGGATAGAGCGTCAGCCTGCAGACTCAAGGGTCCCGGGTTCGATTCCGGTCAAGGGCATGTACCTTAGTTGTGGACACATCCCCAGTAGGGGGTGTGCAAGAGGCAGCTGATAGATGTTTCTTTTTCATCGTTGTTTCTAACTCTCTATCCCTCTCCCTTCCTCTCTGTAAAAAGATCAATAAAATATATATTTTTTAAAAAGAGTGATTTGGGCAAATAATTTGAGTTCTTATCTAGTCTAAAATTCTATGATTCTATGTTTATGTCTTAGTCTTCCTTATGAGAGAGAGTTTGCTACATCCTCAAAATTACTTACATTTTACACATTAACTGTGAGAATATCTTTGTAAAATGTCCAAAAATATAATCACCTTGATCCTCGGAAATACGCTGTGGAGTTTTTCTTTTTCCATGGCCACTGTGCTGCTGACCTGAAAACACATTTTGATTAGTTTCTATGTTTTTTTCTTAACGTTAGAAGGATGTGTTCTAACTATTTCTGAGAATAAGTTCAGAGCTTTACATTTTAAAATAAGTCTGAGCCAGGCTATTCAAAAGAAAAATCTCTAAATGTCATTCTGTTCCTTTTTGGTATTACTTTATTCTCTGGAGGTGTTAGCTCGTAATATCTACAAATCTACTGCTCCATTACTAAGTTTACAACATTGTAGGAAAAGTTCTCAAACACTAAATGACATGTTTGGGATTATTTAATTCAGAGGATTTCTTCCCTACTTTAAGTAGAGTGCTGTCGATAAATTAACAAATACAAATAGGACTGCAGAAAGTATCAAAAATTGAATTAAGGGCAAGAAAACAAATCATGTTTTGGAGACATAGGAGATGCCATCAGATTCCGATTGATTTTGCAAAGCACCCTGGCATTCTTGAAACTGTACTAAATGCTCCACAAACACAAACTCCCTGAAACTCAGCCTCGGAACACACATTACCCCGACCAGCTTTCCTTGCTGAAACCACTAGCTCACAGACACAACTTTCTTCATAGGAGCCCTGCACAAAGGTTTTCACAATGTCTTCCTCTGTAAAAGAAGGGGAGGGCTCAACTGGAGGTAAAGAGGGATTGCTGGTCTATATTGGTGTAATGAGATTAGGTTATAAACTTTAGGTGGAGATACTTTTCAGACATGTAGTGTTACATTGCTCATTTCTCTCTGCTGAGAGCACTGCTCTGTTTCCTGGCGTATCTCCAGCCCTTTCCTGCTGGTTCACCTTTCCCCAGTTCTCCAGCCCCAAACCAGCACTTCCTCATGCTCTGACCCATACTCCATTCCACCAAAATATAAATACTACAGCATTTGTTTTTTTGTTTTATGGATTTTCCAGCAGAAAAATTATGTGCTCGTTATATAAAATTCTAATGGAAAATCATCAAATAAAAGCAGAGAAAGCATTGTCAAATTCCCTTAGTCACTGATAAACACTTTTAACAATGTAATGTTTCAATCAAAAATTTCCTTCCATATCAGGGTTCTCAACTAGAGGCCATTTTGCCCCTCTCCTTCAGGGGACATTTGGCTATATCTATAGACATTTTTTTTTGTTGTTGTTGCTACTGAGGGTAAAGGCCAAAGGATGTTGCTCAACATCCTACATTGCACAGGACAGCCCCCTACAACAAAGAATGATCTGGCCCCAAATAATCCCAAGATTGAGAGGCCTTGCTCTGTATAACAGAGATCATACCACGCATAATGTCGGGTAACATTGTTATAAGGACATATATTATAGATAATAACAGCCAACACCTATATAGCACTTACTTTGTTTTGGACACTGTTCTAAGTGATTTATACCTTTATTAACTTATCCTCACAACCTTATGAGGTGGATTTCATTTTTCTTACTTTACAGTTGAGGCTTTTATAAGGTTAAGTAATTTTCCCACAATCTCACAGATAAAAAGAGCCAGGGTTTAAACCCAGAGTCCTTGTCCTTAAGCCCTAAACTAATTTTATTTTCCACTCACACATGGTATGTCATAATTTGTTTCTTATGGGTGGGCCTTTAGGTAGTTTCCAACTTTTTGCTTTAAGAAACAACACTGTAGTGAGTATTCTCATACATCTTTGAACACTTATCAAATGAACCCCTCGGGATAAATTCTAGAAGTGAAATGACAGGGTCAAAGGATATACACACTTTAAATTTTGATATATTTTGCCAAACTATCCAACAAAAAAATGTATTAATTTATACTCAGATTTTTAGTATACATTTCCTTGGTGTCTGGGAAATTTGTGCTTAACATGCATCATCTCTATTTTCTTTCTTCCTCATTCTTTCTACCCACCTACCGACTTCTTAAAAGGCCAACCTTAAGACTTCTTCTCCGGGCAAATGCTAACAGTGGCCACCACACTCTGGGGTTGTCCCAGCGCTCTTTGATTACTCCCTCCTCTCAACCCCCTCTCCCGACCTCTGACAGTAGAGAGTGAAATCTTTAAATCTACAGGGACAATGAATTCTCCTATAGAGTGAATAATCAATCAATGGGAACAAACTCCCCAAAAATTATAAAAATAGAAAAATGGCAAGCCAATGCAGTTGGATAATAAGCAGACTACTTAAGTTTCAAGGTAAGAAATAAAATCACATAGCCTGAGATTCTAAATGGAAGAATCTAAGTAATAAAATGGCAATTCTATAATTCTATATAATAAAAGCCCAATATGCTAAGTGTCTGGTCACCTGGTCAGCTGTTCAACCAATCAAAGCATAATATGCTCATGATTTGCTAAGGCTGCTCAACTACTCACCATAATGTGCACTGACCACCAGGGAGCAGACAGTTGACTTACTGACCAGTAGCTTTGCCATGCATTGACTACCAGGAGCAGATGCTCTGACCGGTAGGTTAGCTTGCTGCAGGGGTCCAGCAGTTCAGGACTGAGCAAGACGGGCTGGACACTCCCTTGAGCCTTCCCATGGTCCCTCCCCAGATGACCAACTTCTCATGTACCTCCGTGGCCCCTTTAGTGCACTAGTGGGTTCCCTCAGCTTGGCTGTGCCCTCTCGCAATCCAGGACACCTCAGGAGAAGTTAGAAAGCTGGTTTCAGCCCAATCCCACAGGCAAGGCCTAGGGACTCCACTGGTGGACTAATTCATGCATCAGGCCTCTACTCATAAATAAATTAAGTTGAAGAATATAAGGGGAAGTTATAAAAAAAAATTCATCTAAGGTTAGATTTTAAAACATATTCTATCTCACTATAAATTGCTTATTAACTTACAAGGGGGGAAATAGTAACTACACAATGAAGGAAATGGATAACACCTTGACCAGGTAATCAAAATCACCATCACTAACGAGGGGTGGATGGATGAAAAATAACTTATGTAGTAAGTAAATACAGTATTTGGACCAGCAATGCATTAACTGAATCTGACCTGAGGAAATAGACAAAACCAAATTGAAGAACATTCTGCAATCTTCAAAATGTAAATGTCATGAAAGAGAAAGACAGACTAAAAAACTTTCAGATCAAAGGAGACTGAAGATACATAACAACTGCATGCAATATATGATCTTGGACTGTATTTTGTACTCGAGGGGGAAAGCACTGTATAGGGCATTACTGAGACTATAAAGTGTTGTATCAATACTGTTTCCTGAATTTTGTAAGTAAGCTTGTCTTTGAGATATCTAGGGAACATTGATGCCCACTCCACCCCCACTTAAAGGACTTAGCTCTAAATTATAAAGTGCATTTATATTTCTCCAGGTAATGTTCTATCCTCCCCCACAACATGCTCATTCATTCTTTCCCTCATTATAAATAATTCACTCTTAGAGAATCTTAAAAGTATAAAAAAGTTCAAAGAAGAAAAGACTTATATAATCTTCTACAGAGGTACTGCTGATAGCTTAGAGCAGATTCTTCTGTTCTTTTTCTATGGATACATAGATGATTTATGCACAGGTAAAATTGCTTTTGCCATAAACAGTTTTTGTCTTTTATTTTTAACTTAAAAGTTAGTCATTTTAAAGTAATTGTTTATACTCTACTGTTTATTTCAAGAAGACCCATGAAGAGGGACAAACATAATTTCCCTAGAGGACCTACCTTATCAGATCATCTCTGAAGAGGTCCCACCGTCCAAGGCCCATAGGATAAATTGGCCAAACAGCAGGCCCCCCTTCCCAAAAGGTCCAAGCAGGATACATGATATCATGGTACTCTGATGTCTTCAACAGAAACAGAAAGGTCATTCTAAATCAGTTGCACAAGAGAGGGAAAAGCAGCCAACTGCATTCATGCCACAGGATCTGGACAAAGGCCTTGCAAGCCCTACTGCCACATTGTCAAAGATATAGCTTCCCTAGTCTGCGAAGTCTGGACTCCAGACACTAACGGGCAAAAATGATCATGAGTTAAATTCATAAATTTGAAATTGCATTGAAGGCCAACTTTTCCAGTTCCCCAAAGTTCTGTTTTTCTAGAAGACATCCACTGTCAGGGTTTCTAGTTTAAGGAAATAATATGCACAATTCAAAATGATTACATAGCTCTCTCGTCTTTTAACTGCTATTACTTTTGGAGTGTATGCTGACTCACCAGTTCTTGGTTATTTCCTAGATGGGTCTTTTGAGAGCAAGAATTGGGAAATACAGTGCAGTGGTTAAGAATGAGGGCTTTTGAGACAGATCATCTGAATCTGAATGCTGACTCCACCTCTTTTCAGCTCTAGACAAATTAGTTAATCTTTCAATGCCCAGTTTCTTTATCTTTATAACTAGAGGCCCGGTGCACAAAATTTGTCCTTCAGCCCAGCCTGCACCCTCTCCAATCTGGGACATCCCTCTCACAATCTGGGACTGCTATCTCCTAACCACTCGCCTGCCTGATTGCCCCTAACTGCTTCTGCCTGCCAGCTTGATCACCCCCTAACCACTCCCCTGCTGGTGCAATAGCTCACAACTGCCCTCCCCTGCTGGCCTGGTTGACCCTAACTGCCCTCCCCTCCTGGCCATCTGGTGTGAGGGTGTGATGGCCAATTTGCGTATTACATCATTATTATATAGGATGGGAGAAATAATATCAAAAATACTATCTATATAACAGGTTTGTTTTGAATATTAAATGAGTTAAACATGTAAAAATTTAGAACAGTATCTGACACATACTGGGTACTCAATAAGTGTCATTGCTACTCAACACTGTGGCACTGTTGAACTCACATTAGATGGTCAATAAATTCTTGGTTACTCATCTATCAGGGTTAGAAGTGCTGATGGACAGAAGGGGTAAGAGGTGTTAATCCCACATCCTTTGAAAAAAGTTTGAAACCATTTGTTTCCTTTTTATGGTTACTTCTGTTAAAACTCTAGCCACTCACTCAATCATTATCCTGATATGCCAAGTTGCGGGTTCAATCCCCAGGGCACATGCACACAACCAATGAATGCATAAATAAGTAAAACAACAAATCGATGTTTCTCTTTCTCTCCACCCCCCCCCCCTGCCCGCCTCTAAAAAGAAAAAAAAAATGTGGCCACTCATAAACCTCTAACTCTACTCTTTTTTCCATTGGAATTACAGATGCAGTATGCTGTTTTCATTCTCTCAAATACTTAAAAATGTATTTGAGCAGACATAGCTGCTCAATAGAAGATGCACAATTACTATAAAGTTGACAGTCTAAAATGCCTTCTTTGGCCCTAGCCAGTTTAACTCACTGGATAGAATGCCCACCCATGAACTGAAGGGTCCTGGGTTCGATTCCAGTCAAGGGAATGTACCTCGGTTGCAGGCTCGATCCCTGTGCCAGAGGCAACCAATTGATGTGTCTCTCTCACATCGATGTTTCTCTTTCTCTGTCTCTCCCCCTCCCTTCCTTTGTCTCTAAAAAATCAATGAAAAAAAATATCCTTGGATGAGGATTTAAAAGGAAAAAAAAAAAATCCCTTCTGAGGGAATAAAGATGAAAAGGAAGTCAGTATACTGATGGTCATATTTTATTATCCGCAGAAACAACAGGTAAACAACAAAGTCCTCACTGACTTACTATTTGCTCTTCTGGAAGGCTTTCATGACAAACAATGGGACCAAGCACTTTTGAGAACTGAAGCTAAGTCATGGGAAATGCACATAAATGTGCCTCAGACCACGTGCAATTCAGGAAATAAACAAGTCTGGAAGGAAAGTAAACTGTGATAAGAAAAAGTGTGTGTGTGTGAGGGGAAAAGTCCCTTTGCTTTGGAAAAACCAAATCAAAAACAATGTTCCTTTTCTCAAAGTCCACAGGGTTTTCCTAAACCTACTCTTCCTCATAGAATCTTCTACCCACTCTCTTTTAGTTCCCCCACCCCTGCCCTCAAATGCATTCAAACTCAGTCTCTAGGGATCCAAGGCCCATCCCCGCCAATACACCATTTACAAGTACCCGAGCACTGGCAAGACATTAACTGTCCCAAGTTCTACAAGCCCAAGATGTGTCCTAGTACTCCTTTCTTTCCATAACTAGTCCTGAAGACCACCCTCTCGCAAATCCCAGGCCTATCCCCTCAATGTGCTGGTTGAACACAAACTGTGTGGAGTGATCTAACACATTGGGTTTCACTGTTAGCCATGCTGGGCCCCTGGGATACAGTGACAAATAAGCCAGATGTTACCAAATACTGTGGCTGATGTATATATTATAGGAGCTCAACAAATATTTTTTAACCCACTGTGCACCATAAGTTTCTGTAGACGCAAGTGGCAGACCTTCCCCACATGCCACGCACATCTATAAAAAAGATGGCAGCCCTGACTGACTTTAACATCATTGTTCGTGAGAATTTTCAGCTGAAAATATTCAAGAACACCCAACTTATGAGTAATATATTTATTTTTACAATATTCATTGCAAACTGATTTTTTAAATTAAATTAAAAGTATCATGGCGTGTGGGGATGGTTTCCGTTTTGGATGCCAGGCAGTTAACTGGTTAAATGTGCTCTCTAATTTCAAGCCCAAAGCTTTCTTGGGCCTCTCTCTCTCTCTCTCTCTCTCTCTCTCTCTCTCTCTCTCTCTCTCTCTCTCTCTCTCTCTCGGATCTCTGAACCCACCTCCAAGGTCCACTAGGTTCTTCCGGCCTCTCTTTCCCTACTCTCTATGTAGCTCTATAGACACTTAAGCCATCTCACATTACTTATAGATCTTCAACCCTATCTCCTCAGTCTCATTGCTCAACTACTATGAAACCAACAGGGACAAAGACCCAATTCTGGATCTCAGGCCCGTCCTCACCATGACCCATTAGACTCTGTCACAGGACAATCATCTCCTGCTCATATCCTAGAGCAGGCTGGGGAACATCCAGCCCACAGCAATATAAGGGTCTCGAAATCATTTGGTCTGGCCCTGCCAAGACATTAGGGATGAATTAATTAAATGTTTGACAAAATATTGCAGCTAATTTTTAAATTGAGAATTTTTTATGGTCCGTGAATGATGTTATGGATATCCAAATGGCCCATCCAGTGGCTCAGTGGTTGAGCATTGACCTATGAACCAAGAGTTCATGGTTCAATTCCTAGTCAGGGCACATGACCAGGTTTTGGGCTCAATCCCCAGTGGGGTGTGTGCAGGAGGCAGCCAACCAATAACTCTGTCATTATTGATGTTTCGATTTCTCTCTCCCTCTCCCTGCCTCTCTGAAATCCTAATATATAAAATCCTATATAGTAAAAGGCTACTATGCAAATTGACCAAATAGCAGAATGACCAGTTATTATGACATGCACTGACCATCAGGAAATAGACAGACACTCAATGCAGGAGCTGTCCTCTGGTAGTCAGTGAGCTCCCATAGGGGGAGTGCTGCTCAGCCAGAAGCCGGGCTCATGGCTGGCGAGTGCAGAGGCGGTGGCAAGAGCCTTTCCCGCCTCTGTGGCAGCACTAAGGATGTCCTACTGCCAGCTTAGGAGCGGGCCTAAGCTGTCAGTCACACATCCCCCAACGGTTCCTGGACTGAGAGAGGGCACAGGCTGGGCTGAGGGACCCCCCATCCCTGAGTGCACAAATTTTGTGCAAAAGGCCTTTAGTAATAAATAAATACCCAAATGGCCCTTGGCAGAAAAATAATTCCCACCCCTGTCCTAGGGGATCACCTCACATCCCCTCATATGGCTCTTCCTATACTCACCTTGCTGAAGGAGAAGACTGGAATGGCAGGCTCCATCCATTTAGGAACCTGAGGATAATCTCGAACATTGATCACCATCTCCATGTCAGGAAGGTGCCCGATAATTTCCAAAATAAAGTGTTCCACACCGCTGCATCTGCCAAACAGAAATGCCATTGATTCACCAGACCAGGGCCTGCTCTAGGACAAGGCACTGTCCCAGGCACACTTTATTTTATTTTATTTTTTAAATATGGTTTATTAGTACAACATTTTTTAATATATTTTATTGATTTTTTTTGCCCCCCTCCCTCCCTCCCACACATCTCTTCCCTCCCCAGAGTTTTATGTCCATTGGTTGTACTTATATGCATGTATAAAAGTCCTTCGGTTGATCTATTATCTCCCCCAGATCTTCCTTCCTTCCCCACTGTAATTTGACAGTCTGCTTGTTGATTTACTGTCTCTATATCTATATTTTGGTTCATCAGTTTATAATGTTCTTTATTATCCACAAATGAGTGAGGTCATGTGGTGTTTCTCTTTCATTGATTGGCTTATTTCACTAAGCATGATACAACATTCTTTTTTTATTTTTATTGATTTTTAGGGAGAATGGAAGAGAGAGGGAAAGACAGAGAGTGAAACATCAATATGAGAGAAACACATCAATTGGTTGCCTCCTGCACAAGCCCTGACCATGAACTGGGTGGGGAAGAGCTTACAACCAAGGTACGTGCCCTTGACCGGAATCGAACCATGGGACCCTTTGTTCCACAGGCTGATGCTCTACCCGCTGAGCAAACTGGTTAGGGCTCCAGGCACACTTAAAAAAAAAAAAATGTTTTTAGCCTCCTGCATGCCCCCTACTGGGGATTGAGCCTATAACCCTGGCATATGCCCTGATCAGGACTTGAATTGGTGAACTCTCGGTGCATGGGATAATGCTCAACCAACTGAGCACACTCGCGGGGGCTGGAAGTTTTATTTACTAGTATATACAAGACTTCTAAAAGGGTGGTTTATCTTTAGTTGTATCATCAGTCCATGGCCATCCTGTCACCCACATCTCTCAGCCCACTGGTTCATAATTTGTAGCTCCAGCCACTCCTTGTGACTTTCCACCACGTTACTGCGAATACTTGGTGTCTAGAACAATAGTTGGCCTTTGACAATCCATGCTGTTCCTCCACCTTCAGCACAGCTCACTCCTGCTAGGTCTCACGAGCCTGTGTCCTGCAGCTACAACATCCAAAGAAGAGAAGAGACAGAGCAAAGGCCAGTATAGCCAGTGACATTCCCAAGCCTCACGAAGAGAGAGAAGACAGGCTTTGATGTAGGAGAAGGGAGGATAGGAGTTGGCAAGAAAAATTCCCAGGCGAGGAGAGCTTGTCATGTGAGGAGGAACTGGCCTGGGCAGGGGGTGTGGGGTGGGGTGTGTGTGTTGGGGAAGGGGGGTGTCCTCTTTAATGGGCTTCTCCATAAGGACAGAATTAAGTAATCCCCTATGTAATAAGGCCAGAAGATATATTGATCAGCAGCCTCCTGCACACCCCCTACTGGGGATGTGTCTGCAACAAAGGTACATGCCCTTGACTGGAATCGAACCTGGAATCCTTCAGTCCGCAGGCCAACGCTCTATCCACCGAGCCAAATGGGTTTTGGCTGCCTCATAACTCTTACCTTGAGGGAAACATGCAGTCATTTTCTCGGTATAATCTGTTCTTAATGATCTGATAGTGAGTTCCCAGCTTCCGCCTGACTACCTCCGCCATCTTCTCCCTTGAAATACCTCCTCGGAAAGGAGTCAGATCCTCTTCTATGACACTAGGAAAGAACGGGAATCATCAAGGAAAGCAGGCCCAGATAATGGCACCGTTCTGCCTACGTCCTTGGGTGTAGGGTTAGTATTGAAGAACATAGTAAGCTGAGGGAAAGAATAGAGTGCAGGAACGAGTATCCTTATCCCCAGAAGCACCTTAGGGAATCTAAAACATCACCAACATCAAAGTCACCAAACGGAAAAAGCAAGTAAATTTCTCTTCTTCCTCCTCCATCTTCTTCCTCCTCCCTTGCCTGATGCATATTCCACCTTCCCTACAAGAGCCACATCCATGGGCTTCCGTCACTGCAGTCCCACCGACGTCCCCTCCTCTGAATCCCACTGAAGGTATAGTTTATGCTTTGCACTCTGACACTGTCTGACTCCCTTGTTCCGGTCTGTCTGGCTTCTACCCACCCCACCCCAAACCATAGCAGCCTAACAGCAATAACAAAAAATTACACAATTTTTTTTATTTTAATGATTTTTTTTTTTTTTTAAAGAGAGATAGAGAGATAGAAACACTGATGGGCTGACTTCTGCAGGCACCCTCCTGAGGATTGAGCCTGCAACCCTGGCATGTACCCTGACTGGGAATCGAACTGTGATCTCTTGGTTCATGGGTTGATGCTCAACCACTGAGCAACACTGGCCGGGCAAATTACACTATTTTGGATTCCTTTTATAAAGTTCAATACAGAGTAAGTTTTTAATAAGTATCATAAGCACTAGGTGAATTTTTTGAGGAGCTGTCGAGTAACACAATGAGGAGCTAAAGGGCCCTGATATTTGGCTGATGATGCGGGATCTGAGACCCAAAGAAGGCAAGTGGCTGGCCATGGGGATAATGAGTGGGAGTTCTGAGACTAGAAGTGGTTATTGCTTTTGGAGTAATCTTTCTTTCATGCTCCAGCCCTAGATTGCATACCTTAAAAGTAATATGCAGGAAAGGTATAATTAGATTAATTTATAAATACATTCATTCCTTCAATGAATATTTATTGAGTACTTGCTGAGAGCCACACCAGGGATATCACCGTGGATATGACATAGACCTTGACCGGAAGAAGCTTTCAGTGAGGAAAACAGATGAGCACAGGTACTGACTCGGAAGGAGTGGCAAAGCAGACACCACCTGGGGCTCTCCCATCCAGAGCATTTTTATTCCCAAGAAATAGGAAACCACCTCGGGAACCCCATCTGCTTTCACAAGCAGGCTTGGCACTCTGACCACAGCAAGCAAGGCCTCTTAGAGACCTTAGGGGACTTGCTTGTGACAAGAACTGAATTCTCAAAGACAAATAAATCAAAGAGCTGACTCACCCATGGTAGCAGCTGCAGTTTTGACTTGAACACGGTTGGTAATTCTTCAAAGCCCTGTTAATTTGGTCAATAAACACTTTCCATTTGGAACCTTCAAAAAAGGGAAGTAGATGAAAGTTAACCAAGTATCCCAGAGCATTCTTACTTAACTAGAGGCAGACAGGCAGAACCAATAGAAGGCCAGAAGTTTTAGGCAGCCCGCTTCCCACCCCGCCGGTGGGCACGGAAACCTAGGGAGGATTCCTGTAACTCTCCAGCACTCCAGGCAAGTCTGCTCCTGCACTCGGCCCTCAGGCATCCAAGAACCTGGAAATGTCTCCAGCTTCACGCCTGGCGCTCAGAAGGCTACGGGTATACTGTACCGGTGAGAGTAACACCGATTTCCACCGGTTACTAATCAACCCGAGTCCTACAAAGAGGATAAATGAAAAGCCACGGACAGGAGCCCTCGCTTCATCTCCTCTGGCAACGGTCTGAGAAAGCACACACCACACGGAGACACACCCCGCGCACGGATTTAACCCCCCGGTGTGTTTTAACCGGGGTGCAGAGTTGCCAAGCGCGCCCACGATGCCTGCGATGGATGGATGACCAGACAGAGGAACTCCTTCTCCTCCCCACTATCACTGGGAATCCCGAAGATCCGCTTCCTCTCCAGGATCCTGAGTAGCAGAGGCAGCGCCAGACACCCGCTCTGCGCCCCAAGCCCTCCTTCCTCCCCACCGCGCATCCCGCCGCCCCGGTGCCTGGTGCCCGGTGCCCAGCTCTGCGGGAATCGCGGCCAGAGCGGAGCAAAAGGCAGGAGAACGCCAGCCCCGGCTCCGCTCGGCCCCCCTCCAGGCCCACCTGCCTCCTGGCGGCCCTGCCCGGGAGGCAGGAGCAGCAGCGGCAGCAGCAGCAGCCACAGCCCCAGCGCGCGGCGCGCACCCCGCTCCATCGCCGGGAGCCGCTGCGGAGTCCCCGGGAGGCCCCCCCCCCCCCCCCCCGCCCCTCCGCGGAAGCGCCGCCCCGCACAAGCATGGGAGCCACACCGCGTGCGCGGGGCGCCCCACACAGAGATGGCGGGTGGCCTCCTCCGCCTCCTCTGCCTCCTCCTCCCCGCCCCCAGGTCCCAGCCCCGGGCGGCTTCCCGGGACTGCTGCCTGGAAAAGCCAGGATTTCCTCCCACCGCTCTGTGCACGCGCAGTTCTGCAGGCCGGGAAGTCCCGCGCCTTTGTTTAGAGCCAAGCTATCCGGTTCCGCTATCTAAGGGGAACCAAGAGTTTTTGCCTTTTGGGATATTGATTTCAAGCTGTGTATCAAGAAACAAAAGACTCAGAAAGAACCTTTGTCTGCCTAAACGGTTCCGATGGAAAGGCCTGCTCCAGGAAGGGGATCCTAGTGTTCGCCTTAGCGGGGTTTGCATTAAGGGTGGTGAATGCAGGGCTTCAGGCAGGCCCATTAGCTAGATACCCACCGCGTCCCGAAGTTTCTTGAGTTACCTTGTAAGCGTGTGTATTCCACTCTTCCTCAAGGACTGGTAAGTGACCCATTCTCACTCCTGAAATCTAAGATCCCTCATCACCCCCACCCCTGCCTTTCTCCTCTGTTCAAAATGTGCCTATGTCCAACCATGCCTCACTGTCTTTGGAATTTTCATGCTTATGTCAGTTCCCAATGCACATGTATTAAAATTTTATTTTCTCCTGTTAATCTGTTTCTCTTCGTTTGATTGTTGGCCCAGCTAGACAAACTAGAAGGTGGGAGGGGGAAAACACACACACACAAACATACACACACATATATGCACCACACTATAGTGTATAGTCACTGTTAGACCCAAAGGGCTTGCAAATAGGATAGCATAGGTCTCCTCATAATAGGTAGTGATCAGACAAGGAAAAATACCAGTGGACAACATCATACTGGACAGTATAGCTGTTTAAGTGTTTATATATGACCTTAAAACTACAAGTTTTAAGCAATGTCTAAAATGTGCAGTGACTGTTAGGTCCACACCAAAAGGAGCCAGGCCGAGAGTTGCTGTGAGAGTTTAAGAAACGTTATCACATTCTCTCACACCAGTGTGCAGAGGGGTGGTGAGGCTCTCTCATATAGGGTAGAAGTACGCAATATAGGGTCAGGATGTGGGTTGGAGAGTTGGTTGGTCAGTTGGAAGGGAAGTCACCAGTTGGTCAAGGGAGGAGAGTACATGGGTTGATCAGGGGGAAAGAAGTTCTTCTCATTCTGCTTCTGCAGGCATTCGTCATCTGCTCAAACCTATGGGACAGCTTATAACAATATATATTTCAGAAGAGAGATTAGGGGTAGTTCATCCTAACAGCGACAATTTAAGCTCCGTGGAAATGCATGGAAGACCAAGATGAGATCTGTGCCCTCAAGGGGTTTAGACTAGTGAGAAGACAAATAAGATTCCCAGAGATAACTTACAACTTCAGGCAATGAGTAAACGTTCCTGGTTTCAGTGGAAGGAAAGATCAACGTGAACTGGACATCTGGAGAAAGGGTAAGAGAGGTATATTCCAGGATGAAAAAAAAAAAAATATTGCCGTTATAGAATATTGTGCTGGAGACACTAAAAAGGGAAAAGTCATCATCTGCAGAGGGTGGGGGTAGCACTTGGGGTGAAGGTAGTGGGGCAAAACTTAGGATGCATGTTGAAGAATGATGAAAGACAAAATAATGTTGACTAGTTAGGAATAGGCCCTGCCACTTTGGGAGAGGAGAAAATAGATCTCCAACACTCTATCATACAAGACTTCTTTGGGAATCCAAATGAAAACTTGAGTCAAAGTTTCTTTTATTTCTAGGAAGGTGGTACATAACTTCAACATGAATATTCATCAAAAGTACATGACAAGGCAGTGTACTCCATAAATGAACAACACAATAACTCTCATTTTCAAAGTTAGTCTAAAATGAATGTACAAGCATAGGCAAAAGGAGGGCTACAATACACAAAAGTTTATTCTTGCATTATTATTTATTATTGTATTGTTTTTCCATGTGAGGAATGTAAACCTAATTTTGACCACCCTTGTAGTGAAGAATAATTTTTAAGACTTGAATAAAAGCCTTTCTCTTCCACAAGTACAGTTTTCTGTGATCAGAAGAAAATGGAAATCACCTTGCATTACAATGAAAATATTTTCTGCAGCGAGGTTGGGAGAAGAGCAGTGAGGTAGGGAGTTAAGTGGGATCTATGCACAAGAGCTGCATGTGAATCCATATAATAGTTTCACTTTCTTAACAGGAAAGGTATTTTACTCTAGTGGTTCCTAGGTGTAATAAGTACCAGAAGCCTAGAGCTTGTGAAAAATCACAGATTTCTAGGTCCAATGCCAGCCACTAAAATGCAAACACTATGGTTTAAAAGATCCTCCATGTTCAAACTCCTAGTGGTCTTCAAATTAATTTCATGCCACTAACAAGAAAAAAAAAATCCTGAGATGTTCTAAGTTACAATTACAGTGGCTGAAGAGTGAGCGAAAGAGAAACGTTAGCCTGTTAATAGCTGTAGACCAGCTCTGACAAGGATGCTCATATTATATATCTGTTGGAATTTAGGATTAATTTCCAGGAGGCTATTTCCATGATTATTCACTTTTTTTCCTCCCAATTACATTCAATATTATTTTATACTAGACTTGGCAATCAGGGCCAATCAGGTTCCTCACCTCCCCACTTCCTGCCCTCTTCCTCCCCTCACCACGTCCCCATACTAACCCCAGGGCCAGCTCGGATTGGGCAATCAGAGCCTGCTGGCTGGGAGACGGGACTGGCAGGTTGGCTAGAAGGCCCCACCAGTGATCGGGGCCTATGGGATGGGAGAAGCACCTGCATTGAGCATCTGCCCCCTAGTGGTCAGTGTGTGTCAGAGTGACTGGTTGTTCTGTTATAACTGCTGCTTAGGCATTATATATAGTTTCAACTATACAGTATAGTGGTTAGACATTTATATAATTTATGAAGTGATTTTCCCATAAATCCAGTACCCACCAGGCACTATACATAGTGATTACAATAACTGCTTTCCTCTATATCTGTGATTATTTTGTAACTACCAATTTGTACTTCTTTATTTTTATTAGATAAGAGATTCAACTGAAGGACTTGTATACATACATATAAGTACAACCAATGGACACAAAGTCCTTCGGTTGAATCTCTTATCTTCCCCAATTTGTACTTAATGCCTTCTTCTTTTTCACCCTACCTACTAACACCCTTTCCATCTGTCAACCATCAGTTTGTTCTCGACATCTATGAGTCTATTTCTATGTTACGTTGTTCTTTAGATTCCACATATAAGTGAAATCATATGGTACAGTATTTGTCTTTCTCTGACTTTATTCACTTAGCACAATACCCTCTAGGTCCATCCATGTTGTCACAAATGGATGTTCATTCATTTTTATGACTGAGTAATATTTCATATATATGTACCTATATCTTCTTTATCCAGCCATTTAGGTTGCTTCCATATCTTGGCTATTGTAAATAATGCTGCAGGGGAGGTCCCTTCTAATTGCTAAATGGGATGCTGCGGATTGCTTAATAAACCCAATTTTTAAAAAATAATGCTCCAGTGAACATAGGGGTGCGTGTATCTTTTTGAATTAGTGTTTTAGATTTCTTCAGATAATTACCCAGGAGTGGAATTGCTGGGTCACAAGGTAGTTCTATTTTTACAATTTTAAGAACCTTAGATACTGTTTTCTATAATGGCTGCATCAATTTGCCACAATTATCCGCTTATTAACACATAAATTTTCCAGTCTGCTGTTTACAGCTCATCCACAGCAGCATACACTTCTTCCTGGCAGATTCTGCTGAGCTTATCCTAGAACTAACTCTGCTTCCCCTTTTTCCAGACTCTTTATCTATAGCTAATGTAAATATTTTAGAACAGATTAAATCTTTCTCCCTGCCCCATCCCCACCACTGCCTTCTTGATGTATGATTTGCAAAATTTTTAGGCAAGGGAGTTCATGACCCAAGACTAGTTTTCTTTTGGGCCAGCAATTTTGGCTCTTTAATAAACCTTTCTTACAAAAGACTTTTAGCTGTGGAAGTTAAATTATTTGTTAACAACACATTTCCCTTTGCTCACCATGCTCTAGCAATACAATTTTGTGTTAAGTTTCTCAAACATGGCAAGCTCTAAACCACCTTAGAATCTCTGCATAACTTTTGTTTTCTATCTAGATTGCTTTTCTCTCTCATCTTTGCATCTCTGGATCCTTCCCAGAATGCTGAAATGTCATTGCTCGAGACAGATATATCGCTTCAAAATAGCACCCTCCTTATTGTCTACCTCACCCCTTTGTTTCCCTCACAACACAGCCTCTAATTATTTTACTTATTAAATGTTTCCCTCATTAGAATACAAGCTGCAGGAGGGCAGAGACATATCTGTCTTGTCCACTAACACTATGTCTGGTACATAATAGTCACTAAATAAATGAGTGGCAAAGGAGTTTCAATGTATCAAGCTAGGAAACATTTTACAGAACAATTAAAATATTTGTTGCCTCGGTGGTGGAGCGTTGATCTATGAATCAGGTGTTCAAGGTTCAATTCTGGTAAGGGCACATGCCCAGGTTGCGGGCTCGATCCCCAGTAAGGGGTGTGCAGGTGGCAGCCGATCAATGATTCTCTCTCATCATTGATGTTTCTCTCCCTCTCTCCCTTTCCCTTTCTCTCTGAAATCAATTTTTTTAAAAAAATGTGCAAAACTCCTTACACCTACAGGTGAGTATGATGAAAGTATCTGTGTTGCATTTTGTATATTCATATCTTCTAATTTCAAATTCCTCTGTAAAATAGGAACAATGGTAGTATCAAAGCATTGAGATTTAAATGAAATATATAAAACTACTAATCTAGTATCTAGTGTCAAAAAGAACTCTCAATAACGATTAACTCGTCATTACCCAATACAGAGTTTTCTCTTAAGGCTCTTAAAATCT